CTTCTAGTTTCTTGCACGGGTGGCCGACACAATTTTTTTCGCGCGCCTGCCGCGGGCGTGCCCTTCTTCTTCGTTGCCCTACGCCGAGGGCCATACGCGTTCGCTCGCGGCTGGCCGGCGAAAATTCTTTCCACGGGGGCGCGTTTTTGCTTCTTGGGTGTGGGCATTTGGAGTGCTGTTCTCGGGCTACCCCGGGTCGTGGGTCCACGGGTTTGCTGCCGAGTCACCATCTCAGTGTGTGGCTGGGGTGCCGGTCGCCGCAAGTTGCAGGGCCTGCTGTTCCGGCCGTTAAAAAGGGCCCGATTTGGCGGGGCGCCCTTGAAATCGCGCCAGATGAACAGCCCGGGGCGCGCTGCTCTTGCAATCACGCTGGAGTTGCTGAGGGGTGGCCTCCCTTTCAAATTGCGCGCAAGCATGCAGCGCCTGAGCGGCTGCCGGGCGCCTGGCCCTTGGTTGGGGTTGAGCTTTTGTTGTGCGACTTGCCTGGCGCGATTTGTGTTTCGTTTGAGGTCGATTCTAGTTGGTCGTGGGGGTGGTTTGCCTTTGAGGTCGCTTCGGAGCGGGTGCGGGGTGATCTGCCTCTGATGCGCTGTGGTGCGAACGGCTGAGAGGCGAGTTGCCGGTAAAGCGGTCGAGGGGCGACTTGCTTTTCGTTGCGACCCAGCACCGGCCACATCGCGCAAAATGGCCGTGAAATTGCGGCCGTTCTTCGGGCTTTATAGGGCAGTGCACTTGATGTTGATGTGAGGTTGCATGGGGCAAACCGCCCTCGAGCGCGGCGCCATAGTCGGCAGGGCGCCCGGGAAAGGCTTCGTAGGGCCTTGCGCCCTTGAGCTTGCGTCTGCGTCGGGCCGCATAGGGCAGTGCGCCCGCCCTTGAAGGTGCGGCTTGGGCCGCAGAGGGCGCCTCGCCCCTGGCATTGCACTGCGCCCGGGCGTCCAAGGGCGATAAGTTCTGCTTTTGTGGTTTTCTGGCGGGCTATGAGAATCTCCTTGGCAAGGAGATTCTCCCACGTTCGGGGAGAATCTCCTTGCCAAGGAGATTCTCCTTGGGAGAAGGGGAGCGAGACAGCGGGAGGAAGTGAAGGAAATAGAAGGAAATGAAGGAAAAGGAAGCAAATGATGGAAAAGGAAGCAAATGAAGGAAAAAGAAAGAAAAGAAAAAAAAAGAAAGAAGAAAAAAATGGAAAATTAGGAGAGAGGAGGAGGGGAGGGAGGAGATTCTCCTGGGGGTCCAGGAGAATCTCCTTGGGCCAAGGAGATTCTCCGAGATTTTCCTTGAAGCTTGCCCCGGCTAATTCGGGAATTTCGTCATAGCGTCGTGGTTGGCAAATTCCAGATAAATTCCAAATGAATTCCAGATAAATTTCCTACACAAGGAAAACAAAAAGAAAACAAATTTCTGGCAAATGTCAAATATGAGGCACCCAGAGGATTGACACGACCTCCGACCTAGGTCGCGACCCACCCGGAAGCAACCACAAGACAACACAACTCTTCCAAAGTGAAAATCCGGACATAAATATCCGATATGGCACTACACCCAAGCGGCACATTGCACTACATACCGGGCGCCAGAATAGGGGCAACAGGCGAAAACGCTACAGCTTTGCCCTGCGTGGGCAGTTCGGGTCCAGGGCTGCGAATAATTGGCGCAAGATATAGGTTTCATGTTATCGGGATTCGACTACCCTCAAGAGCACGACGCTGCTGTCTGTTTCCCCACGCTTGCTAATATGTGCCCCCATATTTGGACAGAAGGAGACGCGGGTAGTCTACCCCGATAACCTGCGCCAGAGAACACACCGGCTGCTGTCCCTGCGGAAAAATCTTTCACACAACGACCACACGGCTGTTAGCTACCTACACTCCGGGCCCGGCGCTGAGAAATTTTTTTTCTCCGAGAAATTCCACGAAATTCCACCCAAATTCCCTCATCGGATGCGCCAGAACATAGTAGATATGAAGAGAAAACAAAATCATCGAAATAGATTTCGGATTCACTCATATTCTATAGAATATTGGTTATTCCTAATATTATCATCATCGAGCATCATCATAATATCATCATGAAAGATAGGATGGTCGATCAATAAATTCTTTCATATTGTGGAGGAATATTTTTTATTTTTTGTGTGATCATTAGTTATCTTCTGTTCTCGACCCCGGCAGCTACTACGCTGCGTAGCAACCCGACGCAAAAAGATCGCGCGCCGCAGGGGGCGCACAAAGAGGCCACCCCTCCGATCAGAAGTACCACCGCAAGTGACCTGCGCCAGGCCACCATAGTCTAGTCGGACTGACATCCCGACTAGGGCCCGGAGTGCAATGATATCAGGTGGAAGCACCGAAAGGGGAGGACGGACAAAATACCCCCAGGCGTGGCGAACGAGCACGCAGCCAGGCACCCGGCCCGAGGTGGGCGCGCAACCACACACCCGAAGACGCTAAATATCTCTCCTTTTTATCCACCGACGCAAAAGTGATCCACGCCCGGCCTCCCTCATAGTCGCCAAGGGCTGACAACCCAGGATGGGCCAGCGGTAGTGGTGATATCTATGATATGATGGCGACCTAGACCGTGGATGGATACTTAGACGGACAACGTTTGTTGCAGCTATCCGCTGTGCACACGGTAGGGCCACGGGGTGAGTGAGGTTATCCTGGGGGCGCGCACAGGTCACGACGCAGCGTAGATAGTGCTACTTCGAGCTCCACGGCAAAACTAAAAACTTACTAGTCGCGCACTTCCAGACCGTTCCTTCGCGCTTTTCCAAAACAAAGCTTCAATCTCTACCTTTAGCTGCTGCAAAAAGGACAACGTTTTAAAACAAGAGGTAAAAAAAAAAAGAACTTTAGTGTAGGCGAGTGGTTTGATAGAAGCGTAAGACAGATCCGAGTAGACCTGCAGCGAGCAACAACCACAGAGGAAAAAGTAAAAAAGACAAAAAAAAAAGGAACAAGTTCAAAAAACAACAACTACTAATTTTATTTTCGGACTTTTGTAACTTCTGAACTTTGAAAAACAAACTGGTACGACAGGAACAGACTCTACAACTCTTCCGAACCCTTCGAACTTTCGACACCAACTTTTTAACTTTATTTATCTCGACTTTAACGGTTTTACTTTCTTTGGTTTTACAAAGCTTCGTACTCGTAACAGAAAGAAAAGACTCTTACTTGCAACACTCTTTTTCTGTAGTTTTAGTTTTTCTAAAAGTTTATCGCTCCCAGCAGCAGTAAGTTTTTCTAAGGCGGGTGCCAAAGCAGCTCCGCCAGGTTGTGCTTTTTATTGAAGTAGCGCTAGACACATGAGAAGAAAGGACAACTTTCAACCGGTTCCATGTGACCAATCTCAACAAACAAACAAACATCTTCTGTTCTCGATTTGTTTTGTTAGTTTTCGAAGAGAAATTTAAGAAAAAAATGAAGAAATCGAAAACATTAATTATCCTCCTCACCTGCAATTCCGACCTACTAGATTGATATGATCACCAAACAATCATATTTTTCTATTCTTTCACAAAATCATATCGACACACATTTTGACTTTCTTCTATATTCATCGATCATAAATTTTAATTTTAATTTATTTTTAGATGATTTAAATTTGATGTCGACCACAAGAGTGATCAGATATGAGAATTGAAAATTGGATATTTCATTTTAGAACCTCGAAAAATTGATACCATGCGCTGACATGGAAAAAAAAAGAAAGAAATCACAACGACACAATTTTTATTTTTTTGGAAATTTTTGAAAATTTATCCGATGACTTCAAAAAATCAGTCGATCCACACAACATGAATCCAATCAACCTCTCGATTTTATCCTTGAAAATTCCACCTAGAACGAACCATCGAAAAATATTCTTCGAAATCCGAAACTCTCACACTATTTTTTTCGTTCAATTCGATGGATCTGGAATCAAATCCTAAAGAGGAATAATCTAGCAATCTTTATTCTTCTGTCTTATCGTTATCATATAGATTTTTGCGGGAAAATATGTAAGAATTCGAGTTTCTCTTTCTTGAAAATTCGAGACAGACGAGGATTCCTCTAATCCAATCATCAGATAACAATATGAATGGATATTTGCATTCTGATTTAATGACTCAGATGCAGATACAGAAGCAGAACACGCGTCAGCATTTTCATACTTGTAACACTCTTCTCGAAAGAACCATTTTATTTAAAGTGTGACGATCTTACTGGAAATTCATCATATCTATGTCCACACAATTTGGAGACCTAACCGTCGCGACCGATCGGGTTCGTTCATTTTCAGCAAGTCCTACTGAATCTATTCATGCAATATTAATGTACGCGAACGGGCGATAGATGTCGTTCATTTTCTTTTTCATCAAGGAAGGCCGCTGAAGGGAAATACAAGTGTGTCCAGCGTGTGTCGTCTTCTAACTTGATAATGATGGGCTCCAGGTGTGTTTTCTGTTTCCGGTGTTTAGTTTTGTTGTCTTCTTCTTGTTTTTGAGTTGGTTGTCATATTAAAATTGTGAAAGTGAAAAAGTACGTATGTATGTCGCATGCTTTTGAATCGCGTATTAAATGGGGGCGTTGAGGGCTTGCGACTTACTACGACTACACTGGGTATCATGAATAGAGCAGACAAAAAAAGTATCTACGCGAGTCGATGCTCACTGAGCAAGGCGTCGCAGAAACCCATGGCGCACCGGCGGCGGCGCTGTTGCACTGCAATTCCAGCCGCCGCGCCGCGGTTGCCGCTGCCCTGCGAATTTCCAATTCTTGAGTTCATGCGAACCGTATCGAAGCCTGGGATACGCGCGATAAAGCGCCGATAGACTCTGTCGGACTATTGAACATAGACAACTGCGGTTCGTCGCTTCGCTGCGTGTGCCGTGAAGCTGTTGCCCGCGGCCAGCTTCTAGCGTGCTGCATGCTCGGCGGGAAAGAGCTACGAGCGCCTGCGGATGTTCGTGCTGCAGCACTCTCGGGAGCAGGGCCACCGTAACCGTAACCGGTCGGAGGTTGCGACGCAGTTGGGTGCACCTTGTTCAGATTATTTGCGTCGAAGTCGTTGCTGTAGTTGTTCGTGTTTCGCATATCAGCAGCTGCGCCGTCTTTCGCCCCCTTCATCAGGAGATTTTTTGCCGCGTTGTTGCTCATGTTGATGTTGCTGGTACTACCAAATGCTCTTATTCCACCGGGTGGTTGCTCCGTTGTGTCAACGTCCATGCTGACCATCATATTTTTGAGTCGTGTTCCAGCAAACGCAACGTCGTTCTTCCCCACTTGGTCAGCGGCCCACCGATTCTTTGCGTCGTAGAAAAGGTAGACTGGAAGGGCGATCGTGAAAACCTGCACCGTGGTCAAAAGACGATTCACTGGAACGTAATTGCCGTCGTAGCTGTTGTGTGGTGTATTAGAATTAGGTATCATTTTCATGTGGTTGACATAATTCAAATTCATGTAGGGGACTACAGTATTGAGATCTCATCTATGAGCAGCGGCTCGTTGCAAATTCGAAAAAGTAGTAATATGCCACGCATGATTACAACGGGAGTAGGAAATAGAAATACACACTTTGGACGAGGACTTTGTTCAAGTAGTATTGCGAAGCGTTAGCCAGTATGCCATCTTGCGCATATCTTCAGGGTTTGCCGAGATAGACAGAATGCAAAATGGTTTTGAAGCAGATGCTTACGCTCGGTCGCTTCCATGGCACCAGGCAACTGAGTCAATAGAGAAGAAATGAAAAGTAGAATCTCCATGGAGACTGCGGCTTTCCGTACGATGTATTGCCATTTGCAAGCAACCAACTAGTAAGGAGCAAGACCCTTACGCAGAAATTGCAGTTTGATAACCAACCCTGCCACCGAGCACACTGTCCCATAAAGCTTGCCGAACGTCTGAAACCCAAAATGGCGGCCGGTAAAGACGGCAATCTCGGCATGCGCTTGGAAATCCCGTGATTTGTGGCATTTGCCCTGTGTGTTGTTCTTTGCTAAATCTATCTCCCACGGTCGAGGTAAGAACGACCTTCATGCTAAGATCGATGCCTGCGGATGTGTATCGACTGCGTGATAAACACGAGCCTTCTTCTCGGTTTGATGCTTTTACTTTTATTTTTCGAGCAAAAGCAAATCATGACTCTGCTCGCTGCATCGACCTCGTCGAAGCTCTTGCTCCGCCTCCGCGATGGCGATGAATGCATTTGTTACAACACACAACAATGTGAATAAGTATTTTTGTTTTTCCAAAACGAAAACCAAAAAATAACATAGGAGTGGGCCACTGGCCCTGGGGTCTTCTGCAGCGCCGTCAGTATTTCCAAGCGACAGCCATCATAAATGGTGTAGAACAGCGGTCGGGCGAGGCAGATGAAGACAAAGGAGGACAAAAACCATCTGCGTAGACAGGAAAAGCGCACCCAGATCACAATGTCGATGACAACATCAACAAGAAGAATGACTGTGACGATGCTGGTCGTTGCTATTTCAAATGTCGCGCACGAACCAAGAACAATGCACAGAGACAGATATTTTCAACATTTGCATCTTGTAAGTATTTTAAAGTCGTACAGGCTGTGTCGTGTAATGGGTGCGGGTTCTCTTCTTTGATAGCCCGAGCTCAAAGCACAGCTGAAAGGCAAGAAAGAAAAACCACAACGCAGCCCAGCTCGGGATTATGAAAAGGAAAAGGCGTAATTATATTAAGCGGCCACACCATTTTTTCACAGACACGTTCCTTTCCTCGCACACATGGTGCCTAGGAGTGTGACTTTGCACTTGCCAGCATTGCCTTGAGCTTTAACGGCACCGGCACCCGAACACAATCGGATTCAAGTCTAAAGACGTAAGGACAACTTTTTTCTCACATTGTTCGTCCTATAGCTGCACCTCCTATGAGACATCAAACCAATCTTCAATCTGCTCAGTCCGACTATGAGCCAATGCAAGGTGAAATACAAAGAAACACAAATAAGCACCCACTAAAGAAAAAAATAGGCGCAGAGGCAACTAGTACGCTTTTCCTTTTGTCCATAGCCACCGTGCCGCACTGATCCGTGAGAAAGCCGTTGACTGGAATGCCGACTAGGCCTGATCGTGTTGACGTTGAGTGGAACTAAAATTAGCGCTTTAAAGTATCCATTCTGGCCGTCATCGAAAAATATTGTCCGCGGCTTTTTTTTTAAAGAAGAAACGAGACGCAGGCAGCTAGCTTTGCGTCCCACCGAGCCACCAGATCTGGCGAGACCATGCGCGGCCCTCGCTCACAAGCTTACGGGAAGGCGACAGCCTCAGTGGGGGGCGCAACAAAATTTGCTACATCAAATTTGCTGCAAATTTGCTTCGAATTTGCTTCTATTTGCTTCAAATTTGCTTCTGGCTGGCTTCAAATTTGCTATGTCGCGCTCGAAAATGCGTCGCGCCAACACGCCAACAAACGGGACTAGAGTCCTAGAACAAACTCTTTCAGGAGACGTCGCAATATTGCGACGCAGTATTGCGACGCAAAAAGTTTGCTGCAAATCGTTGAAAATTTGCATCAAATTTGTCGGAAATTTGACACAAATTTGCTGCAGCACTATTTTAGCCGCACATTTGCCGGAAAGTTTGCCCGCAAATTTTACATTTTGCAAATTTTAAAAACATCCAGAAGCCCAAAGCATTCCCGCTTCCTGCGAGTCGCGCAAGAGCTACAGACGCACCTTCGCGCTAGGTTTCAAGGCCAGGGAACCAGCAGACCAGATATGTCGCGCGCAGTATTTTTCGAATGTTCGGGAGAATGGATTCTTCACACCGTTAATAAAAAGTACTTAAAAAGACAGCGCATCGGCATGATGGCTTCACCATCAAGCTGTATTTCTGAAGAAAGGTGTCCGATCCCGACCATTGTGGCTGATAGATGTGGTCCTGCGCGAATGGGGTGAAAATACCGCTCGTCCGTGGGGGTAGTGGCACTGCAAACCCGAGCGGTAGCGGATATGGGTTCCATATTTCTGGCGCTCGGTGGCACGGTCGCGACAATTTTTCAGTTGGTTGCCAAGTAGTTTAAGCTTTGCGTTTACATGACGAGACGATAGTGCGTATTCGTGGGCGTCTTGTAATCGTGCGCGGCTTATGTTTTGCAGTTCCTTCTTGGGCAAGGGCAAGCCGCTGCCGCGCAAAATAACTTACGTAAGAAATAATGAAAGTCGTGTACGCTAGGTATGTACATAGTTGTATCAAAAATACAGGCGCAGGACGCAGAGGTGGAGGAGGTATTGCGATGAGTTGACGATCCCTGCAATGGACATGATAGCGCCGTACAATTTCCCGAAGCTGGCGAGCCCGAACCTGCGGCTGGAGAAGGTGGCGATCAGGGTGTACGTCAAAGGTCGGGCTAGGGTGAAGCACACAAAGGCTGTGTACATGCAATCGAGCTCCTGCAGGAGTTGGGACAGCAGAAAAAGCACCCACAACGCCACCCAGGAACACATCAATCCACAATGATCGGTCAAATACCCAATAATTGGAATCCCGACGATGCCTTTGTTAAGAGTTGCATCAATTTACATCACGGACTCCCTCTCACTTGATGAATAGCCAAAAAACGGAATAAATCTCGAGCAGTGCGTATTGTTTATCAAACAGAAGAAGTTTAGGACTTGCTGAGGTGTGGTCTCTGCTAGTAGACGTAGATGAACAACAATGACAATGAGCTTAAGAAAAAAATGCTCGCGTGCTGCTTGCGCTTTGTGCTGGTGCGTCTTTATGCTACCAGTTCACTAAAAAGTAGTTCACGTACCTGCCGCTGGTAGCATGACCGAGAAGATATGCGTGCGGATATCGGCCTCTTCGCTGCTAAGTGAAAACTGCTGCATCTGCAGGGGCACGGACTCTATGAAAAAGTTGAGGCGCACCATGTAGCAACTGGCGCTGAAGGCGAAGAGGAGAAAGTCCGGCGTCTGAATCTGTTCCAGCAGGGTGAGCCCGTCGTACTTGGCAAAATTGTCCTGGTCCTCCAGGAGCTGCTGGTACCGCTTGTCCCGCTCCAACTCCTCCTCATCTTGATCCGCGGCTACTTGGATGGTGGTCGCGTCAGCCTCGGTGAGACGTGAGTCGCGACGGTCTCGCGTTGGCTCGTCTGCCGTTGCGTCGCCAGCTTGCGTCTTGCCATTTGACTTCTGCTTCTTCATTTCGCGCTTTTGCTTTTCTTCCTCGACTCGCCGTTGTTCCTGCAATTCCCAGGCTCGCACATCTTCCGCGCGGATGGGCAGTCGCGGGTAGAACAGCAGAAACAGCACCGCCAAGGAAAGGCCGACAAGGCTGTAGGTTTGGAACACGTCGTCGAATGGGAGGTAGCTCATGCAGGCAGCTAGGCTCATATGCAAATGCACAACTAGTACAACTCGCCCCTCTGACCGCAATCCTAATTCGAAGAGCGTCGATCTAGTTTTAGTTTTACCAGACGAGCAATCGAAGTCGGAAACAGATGATGAAGAGGCTGCAAAATGAAGCTGCATCCGCATGAAATCCACATCAAAGCAACATACAAATTTCTTTGTGTGTTGATTTAGAACAAACGATGCCAGGAGCAAAGAGTGAGAGAGATTGAGATAATGATAGAGTGAACATGACGTTTTGCATTACAAAAACAAATGCAAATAGAAGGAGACTGAGAAAGTAAGGGAGGCGAGGGATGGAGTTGAGTTCGGTGTGCACATCATACATTACAAACACGAACGATGAGGCATCAAAGCAGCCGACGAAGGTATCCTATGCAAATTTTTCTTCACAAACTTCAACTCGAGTTTCAATTTGAAATGCACCACTTGAGGACAAGCAAGCGAAGGTTACACATGCACTCGGTATACATAGGGTATTTTTCGTATGTAGTTACACAGTTTTCTACGCCCATGCGGTTGCGGTTGCACTACAAATCGAATCGAGGATTGAAATGGGAAACGCGGGTATAGGATAGCAGGCAGAGGTAATCAACCCCCCAAGGTGGGGGTACAGATTAGAAAAGGAAATCGTGGCCATGTAAACTAATGGGCCGGCCACCGCCATCATCTGGAAGCCCACGTAGTAGAACCCGTATCCAAACAGCCAGTTTCCGCATCCCGAGATGAGCGCCGCCAGGCAGGCCGCGTACTTGGGTCCGAGGCTATCCAGGAGCAGCCCGCTCACAAACGCTGTCACATTCAGGAGCGTCGTTGCGAGCGTAAACATGAAGCTCAAGTCCAGCTGCTGCGCACTGCACGTCTTGGCCGAGGCCGTCGGAGAAGTTTCGCTGCGCACACGAGGAGCCGTGCTGGCTTCCAACAGGTAGTTCTCCAGGAGGTAGTTGCTCTCTCTAGTCGTGCGACTCAGACTGTCCGCGGTTGTGGTGTCGTCTGCTGATGGGGTTTGGAGTATGATCGTCCGTGCTGATGGGGCGGCCTTGGCCGCGGTCTCCGCTCTTGGCGCACTGACAGATAGATCGGCCGTAGTAGATTTTTGCGCGTCGTTGAAGTCGTCACTTTTGATCATCTGCAACATATTTTCAGAGTCACCAGAGCGAGATCTGTTCCTCTGCGTTGTCGTAGCTTTCCGGATAATTGCCTCGGTTGCAGTTTGCGGCAAAGACAAAAACTTTGACGCCGCGTCCAATTTGGGTGGCATGATGTCGGGAAATCCTCGACGCTCTACGGCCGCGCGTGGGCGTAACAGGTCTTCCGCCTGTATGATTGCAGCCGGTTGTTCGCCCTCGACTTGCACTTCTTCACCCAGTCGTGGTTGTCTTCCATTGGGAATCAGTATCTGCGAGGACAGCGAGTGGCTGGGATCCACGCAGTCCTGGTAAAAAACACCCCGCTGCAGCAGTCGTGGGTACAGACCGGCAAAACCAAAAACCAGCCCGGCACAGAGCAGCGAACTGACAACGCCCAACAAAATTACGAGCAAACGGCGCCATAACGGCCACGCCTCGAGCTTTGGCATGGTCATGGAGCGGTCCACCACCGTGTCGACGGTCGTATTCATCTTGATCTTGTATCGGTTGGTGACGAGGACGAAGCGGTGCGGTCTTCACTCATCAGTTCTTCTGTTATTTGACACACTGAGCCTTATCCTTCACCATCAAACGCACACGAAGACGAACGAGTCAGAGTCGAAGGACTCGCCTCCTGGTCCTGTTGATGTGCGGTTTCTCTTTATCTCACTCGCTCTCATCAAAAAAAAGAATGACGTGTGCGCTTCTCAAGGTGAGCGGTAAAAGCCTCCCACATACTGTAGTGCAATTCCAGAAGGTAAGTGCTTCTGCAGAAGTGGGTAGACCACTTCTGCACCCCCAGTGACGTTTCACCGCCCGTTTTAGCAGTGCCCGGCCACCAGGGGGGAGTTTGCCTTTGGCGCCTCCTCTTGCCGCTGGCATTCAAGAACCTGTGAAAGAAAAAAAAGAAAACTACAACTCACGTCACTATCAATATCTTCAACCAAGGCTGATATGATTGATTCGCCCGACAAATAAATATTTCACGACAAGGAGAATAGCCAAGAACGCTGAACATATTCGGTGGGCGGACGAGACACTGACGACGTGGAACAAAAAAAATTTAGGACATGAAGCAAGAAAAAACAAACAAACAGAAACACAAAAAAGAGAAACTGAAACTGCTCGACGGACCGGGATCAGAAAGCAGGATATCAAGAGGTCTAATTATGACGCTCGGAAAATCGTTCACGCGCCACAATCCATCGAAGAAGACGAACAGAATACAAATAAAACCAACGGAGGTTGACGACAAAGACCATGACAAACACAACAAGGTATTCGAAGAATCACCGATGAAAATCGCGAAATCTTAACTTACGGTTACGTCAGTCTCAGTCCCATGTTTTGCAAGCAGATTCTCTTGCCTCGAAGTGAGCTGGAAGCTTGGCTATGTATTAGTTATCCTCGGGAGGAGCAGGACACAAATAATCTTTTCACCATCATTCGCCGACAAGGCTCATGCCGGGTCTTGAGAAGCTAAAGACGAAGATGAACCTCTTCATCTTCTTCAAAGAAAACGGTGACAGTGAGTGACAACGGGAGGAAGAAGAGGAGCTGGTGTATCTTATTCTTAAGTTGAAGCAATTTGACGTTTATTTTTCCTGGTTGCAGCGCACAAGCTCCTTTCACTTGTTAGCAGCACGGCTGCAACCTCGAAGCGCAGATAAAGTTCCATCTTTGTAGTAAGTACGCACATGCACATGCAGTGCGGAGGTTCACTCCCTGGATGTCATTAGCTTACGCTCGAGAGCTCAAGAGCACACGCACAGGAACACTGGTCAATGACCACTTAGCGGTACGGAAATCCCGATATGGCTTCGTCCTGCTCAATCCTTCGTGTTGTTTCTCATTTCATTCAAGGCGGCGCTGACGAGGTCGTTATATTTTCCTTCTATGTCTATTGGTCATCGGTAGGTGACATACCGTAAGAACTTTGATGAAAGGCGATCGCCAGCATGCATCGAGTCCTGTAAACTTAGAAAGTTTCAATGTCTGCTTGATGCCCGACCGATGTCTGGCCGTTAACGTTACAAACGTATCATCATCGTAGTTGGACTTCTGCACATTTCTATATGCCTGTGGGCGGAAGCATAGAAGTAGGTGGTTCATTTTGAAAGGTTCAAAACATGTTTACTCCATCGAAAACGACATCTTCGATCTGCAAATGATGTTCCAATAGTAGACTTTCTCTTTGTTCGACTTCGACGATAAGACATAAGCGTTTTCAGTTGAATAAAGAATATTTGAACGATGCGTTGGTTCATGAATGCCAAGCCTTAGTAATCATGGTAGTTTTACAGAATCGGGTGACTCCAAATTTGTGCTCGCCGGTGTACTATGCTGGTGTTGATCAAATGTCTTGAGTTACACGATTTCCGTGTGAGAATCGCGATAAATCACGTGGTTTTATTTCATTTCGAATAAAGCTCAATACAAGCATCAACTACATCGCGCTTCAGCTTTTCCTCCCCTTTGCTGCTTTGATCAGCCCAGGAGGAAGTAGTAAGCTACGACTAACTGCCAGCTGATTCTTGTTCTCTGGAGTTTTTATCTGAGTACAATTTATTTATCACTCAAGTTTCTAGTATCATGTAATTAGAATTACCGCCTCCGGCATTCTGTTTCTCAAGTCTGCATTTTCTTTTTCGGTTTCGGCGAATGAGAGGATTCATCAAAACGCCTGGTAGAAGTGATCTTCTTTCGCGGCGCCATCAGCATCGTCGAGGAAGTGACCTTCGTCCGCCTGATTTCTCATGCCAGCACGCAAGGAAAGAAACGCCGTGACCAAAAAGAAAGAAAACAACATCGACACAAGGGCAACTGCCGCAGTGTGCGCAGAGGAGCGAATCCCCCCGACGCCATCGCCTTCTCGCCCGTCCACTCTTTCCAAAATTCCCTGCGGCACGAAGCTGGTTACTTGGGGCGGAATGAAACCGTTCAATTCGAAGAGTTGCACGGCGGCTGCTCCACTAGCTCCGGGAGCAGCGGGTTTCGCAGTACCACCGGCGCCGGCAGACGAGGTGGTCGCAGCGGGCTGTTGCTGGAGGTTGCTACGTGGTCCGCCACCTCCGCCGAAAATTCCGCCAAAAAGACCTCCGCTAGAGCCCGAAGTGCTGCTGCTTGCCGTCGCACCCGCAGCCGGCACCGCAGCCGGGCTCGCCCCCTGTCCCTGCTCCTGATAGCGTTTTGATTGCGAATGAGAAGTGTAGTGCTTACCGGTTCATCTTCATTAGCACCAGGACAGCAGCTTAGTCGCAAAAAACTTCTACCCACGATAGAAGATGATTCTCGCTCTGATTCTTCATCAACCTCTTCAGGTGGAGCGCATAGCAGAATATTTATGATTATGTGCACAGCGAAGTAGGAGGAAGATCAGGATCGTTTTTGCTTCTCATGATGTTGCATCTCTTTGTTTCATACAAAATCGTATGGTTGTACCAGTGCTTTGAGCTTCTCCTCCGCAGCTGCGACGCGGGCCTTTGCTTTCGCGAGTAGGTCCTGTGCGTGGGCAAGGTGGTCCTTTTCGAATCCTTTTTGCTGTGTCTGCGCCTTCGTGATCGCATCGGCGCCCGCTGTAATCACGCCAGGAAGGCCAGAACTGACACCCTTGTTGAAAATTTGGCTCGGGATGGAGGTCGCAGTGGACAGAACGCCGGTTACTTGATCTAACGTTTGCTGCTGCAGCTGTAGTCGTCGAAGCAAAATTATAAGGAGAAATTGCGATGATTCTGATTCTACGTTGACAACAAACTCAAAGGAAGCACTGGTGACACAAGAAGTTGAAGTGCCTTCCAAATTGCAGATGACGAGCCCAGCCACCTAAAAATCCAAAGACAAGACACCTTCTGCGCCCCCTGCTCGGCTTGTGCTGCAGGTGTCGTTTTTTTTTCGCCAGCCAGATTCTGATTGGCCAACTCTGGAACGGCCACGAGTGCAATTGTGCTCGCCGGTCCACCGCCGCCGGCAGGCGCCGCCCCAGCAGACTGCTGCTTCTGCAGCTCCGCGATTTGTTGTTCCAGAGCCGCAGCCTTCGCGTTCTGTTCCCGAGCCTCTGCCTTGACCTTGTTCGCCTGCTTTTCGATGCTGTTGGTAGCTTCTTCGCCTTTGGAAAGCTTTTTCACGGCCTTCTCGCCAGCGTCGATCACAGGGCCTAAGCCCAGCCCTTGCAAAATCTTGTCCGCAGTGTCCTTCACCTTCAGATGTAAGTGATTTAGATTTAGTTTGCGTTAATACGAATTCAAGTGCGTGGCGGGGGTTGAGCGATGAACTCGAAACAGCGCTTTCACCTCCAACTCCGCTGAAATAAAGGTACAACAGCGCCGTCATTCTGCAGCAAGGTTGTAGTCGTACGCATATGTAGTTGTATACGCCATCATCACAAGGAACATCAACATGCTTTTCACAAGATGATGCGGGACGAGGAGGGGGACACTACAATAATCACGGAAAGTGAATAAAATGCAAAATTGGAGTGAAAATTTTAATCGGAATTCACCTTCTCCGCAATTTTCTGGTTCTCCTTTTGTTCCTTTTCGTCATTGTCCACCTGCACCGCCGGCGTGGGAATAGAAGTAACGGTGGCTGGCGCGGGCAGCGTCGGCGGAGCTTGTGCCAAATGCAAATGTTGCGCTAGTTTTCCGCCGTTCGGGTCGGGAACCGTGAAAAACGCGTTTTTCGCGTTCTCGCTGTCAATCGACCCGTCCAGGGGTTTCGGGTTGCCCGGCACGAACCCCGATTTCCCGTTGCGCCCCAGCACGCCACCGGAGACCATCTTCTCCGCCGGCGAAAGTCCGACTTTGTCCAGCACGTCGGCAACCAGGGCCGGCATGCCCGCGGGCTCGGTCTTCAGCTTACCCATCCCGGGCACGACGGAGGCGAGTTTGCCGGACACGAAAGCGGGCATACTGGCCTCGGAGTTCAGCACGTTGGTCACGCTGTCCCCGACCGTGTTTTTGGCTTGTTTCACTACCTTTGTCGCGACGCGCTTCGCCAATGCGACCTTTTCCTTGTTTGCTGCAGCTTGATCGTCTTTTTCCCGGCGTCCACGCTGATGCTCTTCCACTGCGATTTCAGTAGAAGCAGAAGTCAAAGCGGGAGACTGTGCAGGTGGAGGTGCCGCTGCCACTGTAGCCAAAAGCATCAGCTTTGATGCCATCTCCTCTTCTGCTGCGGGAACTACCGCAGCCTTTGTTCTTTTCGTACCAGATGAAAAATCGTCCGGTTTTGTGGTCCCAACAGAGGCAATCTTCTTTTGCAGTTGCTCGATTTGCTCCTGCAGCTTCTGCTTCGTCTTTTCCAGCGCGTCCAACTTCATTTCCGTGGATTCTTCGATATCCTGCTCGACTTTCTCCGCCTTGTCTTCAACGGATTCGGCGCTTCGCTCCGCCTTTTCTTCCGCCGTCCGTTCCAGATGCTCCGCTTGCCGTTCAGTGCGGTCGCGCGTGCTCTCAAGGCGCCGCTCCATCACCTCCTGCGTGCCCTCCGCCCAGCGCTCCGCGGTTTCTGGCAGCTTCGGAGCCGTATTTGTGGAGGACAGAACTTCAGACAAATCGAGTTCCTTTGCGGCTGCCGTCTGCGTCGTACTCTCCAGGGAGACCACACCATTGGTCGTTCCTGTGCTTGTCTTATGCACCACCTCGTCCTCGTCCACGTGGCTCTGCTCCTGTTTGGATGTAGTTCCAAGCTTCAGCAGGTTTTTGGCACCCGCGGACGCCGTCGCCTTGCTGTCAGCTTTTTCCGAGGACCTGGCAGTGTCGCTTCTCTGTTGGCGTTGTGCAACAAGAACTGCTCCACTTCCTCCTGCTGCTGCCGATTTATGCTCTGACTCGCTCTTCGTCTTCTCCTTTTGCTTTTGTTCACCCTCCGTCTTTTCCTTTTGCTTTTCCACGCCAACAGGATTCCGTACCGCCCGCAGCTGTTCCTGCTCTTTCGCTTGCATTTTTGCGAGCACGTTTTGGGGGATGAAATGCTTCACGAAGTCGGGAATGTGGGAAAAGACAGAAGCGCTCTCCTCTCCCTCCTTTGCTTTTGATGCCGCGTCGTTCATGCCTTTCTTCTCCAACAGCTCAAGGCTCGCCTTGTTATTTTCCGTTTTAGCAACAGCTGACAACGCCGATGAAGAACCTTTACCTTTGCCGACGCGCCCGGTAGTTTCTAGTCCCTTTGATACCCCCGCCCCGGAGCCCAATTTGCCTTCGCTCTCCGCTTTCTCCATCCCCACTTGCAAGGCCGGCATCATACCGATCGGCGGCATGGACAGATTCGTTTTATTCTTCCCGAGTACCTCACGCTCCAACACCTTACGCTCGGCCGCAATCTCCTTGGCGGCCTCCTTCTCGACCCTCTCGGCCACTTTCACCGCATTTTTCTTCATCGCCTGTGCTTGCTGCTTTGCGTTCTTCAGCTCAGAGTGGATGCTCTGCAGCGCAGTTTTTTCCGCTTGCTTGGCCTGCTGCAGCGCTTGCCTTTCGGTCGGGACCGCTGCTGTGATCTGCTTTTCCACGGAATCGAGTTCCTTTTTGGCCTTTTCCAGGTCCTCGTTAGCGGTCTTCAAAATTTGCTGCGGGTCAAGCGTCGAAGACGCCGCAGCGGTGGCGGCTTTCGCACTCGACCTTACGGTCTTGTTTTCGGCGGTGGCAGCTTTGGTCGATGATGAACTCGCCGCATCTAAAATTTCTGCCGAACCTGATGACCCTTCAGCTCTGTGTTCTGTCACCGCCGCTCCCGCTGCTCGCACAACTGGCGCATCCACCACCGCTGCAGGACCACTCGCGGTTGTTAGAGGCTTGATATCCTGACCATCGGCGGTGGTAGAAGAAGTCATTTTCTTTTTCATTGCGGCAACACTTTGCTCATCCTGCGCGGCGGCCGGAGCTGCCTTAGCAATCTTGTTTTTCGCATCATCGAAGGGTGCGGGAGCGGGGCGGACTGCAGCAGCGGCCGCTTTCGCCACGTCGTCGTGTTTCGCTTCTTGTTTTTCGCCCACGTCCACACTCGCCAGTTTTTCCGATGGGGCAACAGCAGGCGCCTGAGCGGCAGGCGGCTTCGAAGCCGCCACAGCGGAACTGCCTCCGAAAAGCTGTGATGTGGAAAAGTAGGCTTAGTTGTAGTGCCAGAGACAATCACGATTCATAAATCGTTTTCGTGTACTGGTTTATGTTGATGAAGAGAGCGCAACTACAGTACGTAGACCAAAGCAAATTCAGACCATCTTTATGAAGGCAGAAAATATTCTTATCCCAGACCACGAACCAACCCGAAACATGTACTACTTATTTTTCCCTTACCGCGGAGAAAATGTTGGGCTGCTCTGCCGCAACACCCTCAACAAAAACAGAGCCCCCGGCTGCAATGACCAGCGTCGCGCGAAGGTGGCTGTAGAGAGGGCGAGGGATCTTCATCTTGCGGCCCGTTGCCGGCATCTCTTTTCTTGGAATTAGATGGTTTTTTTTTCTGGGTTGCGGTCGTCTTGTTTGTCTTTCTGTGCGACCGGTTGTAATCGAACAAAAAATAAACGAAAAGATATTCTATTCTGGTCTTGGCAACTTTCACATGATTCTAGGATACTATTCTACATCTTAGCAAAAGCATCGGAATACATTCCACTTCTCCTTGGCCTTGGGGAGAGGTACACATGGTATGTAATATCGTCACGTACTACCTTTCCAGGATCGAGTATGCCGAAACTTCGGCGCTCGCGAAGAAAAACCGGGAATAGAATAAACTGACGGAATAATTAACGGGTACAGCGGAAGTAGCAGGCATACAGATATTACAATGTCAGCAACAAATGCTGGGGCGAATATCTGCCGGCTCTGATTGACACAAGAAAAGGCAGCACATTTTGTGGCCTGAAATGAAAGGAATCAGTGAGGAACACGAACAGTGCGGCCTGATGCCGAGATTCATTTTCATTGTCGTTCTCAAAAAACGAACCCTGTCGTCGATTCTTCGTGTAAGATGAATCAGAATCTTTATCTTGCGTGGGCAGCAGAGCGCATCCTATTCTTCAACTTTTTTTCCTCAGGAGCTCCAAAAATCAAATTCATCCGCCTTGCTTCCACTCGGACGGCGTCTTCTTGTACTTGTCCCTCGGACACGCAGCGCTGACAAAGTAACAAAAAAAACCGAAGGTCGGCTTAAGGCCAAGCTGTACGAGTATGAGTACCGCGAACAACTCGCTTTACTATGATAGTTTTTCGCCACTAATAGGCACCTTTGAAGTTATTGTCACGAGTCATTCACTTCGTTCTTTCTCTTTGGGATAGAAATGTCAAAGGTCCTGCTCGAATTGTTCGTAGTCAACGATAAAGTTAAAGCAGTCTAAATTACTATTTTTATTTACCTCAGGTTACACCCGCTTGCACATGCATTTGCGCTGGTAGCTGTCTCCACAAACAACTACAGGCTCGAGAAATGCGCCAGCAGGTCCTCTTTATCTTTTATCTACTTTTTCGTTCAAATAAAACTTGCTTCTTTTTCGAGATGAACATCGAGGAGAACCAAAACAGTTTTTGATGCGAAAGACAGCATCATTATAATCTTTTATTTTTTCGCGTAATTACCACACGACAGAACCGCCTTCCAAAGCAAGAGGTTGCAACGTCGAATCATGTTGAGCTGAAGAGAATTAAAAAAACGGAGTTCTGCCCCAGGACTTACGGCGTCCCTAAGAACCGGCCACCAGCAGACTCCCTTTGAAGAATGAAAATAGCTGCCTCCTCATATCATCCTGTCGCAATTGCTCCTCCAGAACTTGGTACGCGGTGTGCTGCTCATCAGTGCTTCGTCAGGTCTCTGAAATATTATCGACCTTTAATACGCAAATTACATTTGTTCCTGATACTACATCTTCGCGGCCAAAACTAATTTCCAGATAATCATAACCTCGTCAAATAATAGTCTTTTTATTTTCGAGCCTCTGTCTTCAATATCCTGTGAGGGTGAGCAGGATAATTCCACTTGGATGATGAAGAAAAGTACTGGTTAGAGTCAAAGAAACGGTAGTCTACCATGTGAGGAGGGAGTGCAACATGTGCGGTAGGGCACAGGCACTAGTTCAACATTTTCATTGATGTAATATCAATATCATCTCCTATCCGGCACCGGAACGCCCCGCTTTGGTTTCAAGATATGCATACAAAAACCACAGTAGAGGTCTAGCGATGAAACGACGAGCGGATCGAGCCGTGCCACGAAGAGATGAATTAGTGTGATGGCAAAGGAAGTGTACGGTTTGGATTTGGTGCGGCATAACAATAATTTCATGTGTTAGGAAGGCGAAGGCACACACAGGCCTGGAATAGAAAAAATAAAAAGCGAATAAAGCATTCATCGCCATGCTCGTAATTTGACTTACGATTTGTTCTCGAGTTGTAAATAAGAATAACCACAATGTCCTCAGGCATCTCCTTGATTCCCGATTGGACGTGGCAAACATCTAAGGACTCCTTTCTGTGACCTTGCCAAAACCCTAAAACGTTCTGCGCCTAGGAAAAGCTTGCTAGAATATCTACATCTTCACCCCCCAAAAAAAAAGGCAGAAAAATCATGAAGTTGGAGTAAATCCAAAACTAAATAAACAAAGATTATGAACTGCTGATAGCAGTTGCACTTCTAATCCAACGGTCGAGTCGATGGAACGACGCCCTTCGGTCGTACAAAACCTGTTCGGCACGAAGCAGGACCTTCCACAGGTTGTAGAAGCTGCTACAACGATGGTGATCTTCTTGTCGAAGCTAGAGTGGCATTCCGATTGTTCATCTTGGTAACAGTTTCATTTGTCACGATCGGAAAAGCGCAGCTGTCTACTTCGTGCGGCGTCCCCGTCATGACTCTTATTCCGCTATCGCTTGCGACCTCAACAACATCTTCCCGTCTACTTCGCGCGCAGTTGGCTTCGTGCGTCTGGTTTGCGGGCTGCTCAACATCCCGTTTCTCTTTTGACTTGATGGGACCTGCGTCCTCGGAGCCTGAACCTGCCAGGCTGTCCTTACGACCAGTTGCTGAAGTCCCCGTGTCATCGCGCGCCAGCTGCGGTGGAAATGGAGTTACTACGCGATGATCCCCACCACCACCAGCAGTCGGCTGTACCACTTCCAGAGTCGCGGCACGCTGGTCCTGCTGGTCGCTCGGGTGCTCTTCCTGCAACAAGGGCAGATAATTCCGCATCCGCCCTTTGGCCGTGTACAACGGTCCAGGTCCGTGGGTCAGGAGAAGACCATCTGGTAGGTTTTTGAGTTTTGGAATCGATGTACATACATCATTTGGTGTCTTCGTGTACGGAACGTTGAGCCTGAGGGTGAGGCCGATGCGTCAAGAATAAATGAATTTCTCATGATTTTCCCTGAGGACCAACAGAAGGGAGCAGGTGCGGGAATTTGACTTGCTGCACAATACTCTCCTCCTGCGGAAAAACAGACGGGCACAGAATGAATTTCGATAGTACTACTCAATAACCAAAATAATCCGATACAGGGAGACAACTATCTTTCTTCATCATCTTTGTACTGCCTCGACGCGCGAAAGGTTTGGTCCCGGCAGACGACGAGAATCCGAAGACCGCAGCTGCACCGGCTGAACTACTGCCGCCCTCGCGAAGATGATTCCCGCTTCCCAGACCAGCCTCCTCCGTGCCGGAAGAACTTGCTCCTCCCACGCGTCGGCTGCTGGCGCAGCCGCCCGGGCTGGAAAAATCACTGTCCGAATCTTCGACGCGTACCGGCGACAGAAAATTCTTCATCTTTAATACAACGACCGGCGCAACTTCTACGGCAGGCCCAAAGTTTTCTGGCGCGCGACCCATTGGTAGTTCACTTTCGGGATATGATTGAAAATCAAGCTCGTCCTGGGTGCTGCGCGAGAAAGCGCCGCGTATGGTTTTTTTACAAATGCAAGCTACCAGCACTACGTACAGGTCGGCGACCACGACTGTCTCTGGAACTGAGACGCGGACGTTCTTATTCTATTAGCAGGGGTATGAGCTGCGAGCTAAGTGACGAACGGGAACGCAGGGAACTAATTCCTCAGCATTTTGCGCTTGTGGAAGGTGGATCTTGATCTCTATTTTGATTCTCCTTGGTTGCAAATGTGTCTTGCGCGGCAGTGCCTGGTCATCCGACTCCTACGTCATAAAACCAGAAGGAATTATGTTTGTGTGTCCAGGCGTACATGTACAACATCTGAGGATAGAACGACATCGGCAAAAACGCCTCAAAAGGCGATGAACAACATGAGCAAGTAGCTGCCACCCTCATACTTATTATATGTGATGTCACAAAACACACACCGATTTTTTTTTTCGAGTGCCATGCTTCCGGAGTTGTTCTGTTTTTGGAGTTGTGCTCTTTGGAAAATACGAAATCGCCTTTCGCCATCAGGATCAACTTGAGGCATCACGATCATCATCTCCGTCTTATTGCGGCGCATCATCCGTCGCTAATTGAAGCGAAGCAGAAGCAGCTCCAGGGAAAAGAAAAAAAAGCAATATTCACACCAGCACGAAACATCCAAATCAATTTTCATTTTACATGGAATGATCTTCCCTTTGCAGCTAAAACATCTTCAGGAGCGGCAGCGGAAGCACAGAGCAGGAAAGGGAAACTCAGCAGGTTCAAATATTTTCACAACGAGGTCGGGTTTGCGTAGATGGTTTGCAGTTCACCGCCGGCGTCGGAACCCTTCAGGATGGCAATGGCCTGGTTCAGCGCCTCGACCTCCGTGGTCATAGCTTCCTGGCGCACGTCGAAGTGCTTCAGCAAAAAGTCGCACTCCTCCTTAAAGGACTTCATGGTTTCCACCAGCCCTGCGATTTCGCTCACTTTGTCATTGATGTCCCGGTTTTTCTGCGAGATCGTCTTGTCCAGGTCGGACTCATCACCCAAAAAAGTGCCTATGGTCGACGTCGTTTTCCTTCACGAATTGCAGTCAGGCATCATGCGTTTACGTTTTGCCTATCATGCAACATATATCTGCAACATCAGCAACACGAATTTTATTGAGTGTGAGAGTAAGTGTGTGTACTTTGAGGTGGAATGCGTAGTTCTCGCATCACAAGTTCCCGTTCCGTTTTCAAAACAGATAGCTGCACTTTTTCCTGTGATAGGCCTTCTCGAACTTCAAGGTTGAGAGCTGCAGTTCCGAGGACTGCTTCACCTCGACAAGCAGGTCGCGTTGCTTCTGGAAATCCGCTATGCATTGCAAAAGTATCGTACACGTACTAGTATAAATCGCATGACAAATTTCATCAGGAAGAAAATTGGAATTTGTAATGCAGATTTGGGTAGGAAATCACATTTGTCATGCATACCTGCAATTTATACGGGTACGATGCTTTTGCAGTGCATATCCGCCTGGTCCTGCTCCTGCTGGAGCCGCATCTCCTTGATCGTCTTGCGTGCCTCGTCCTGAATGCCCTGCAGCATCGCGACGACACCTCAGTTGAATAAAGCAACGAAACTCGTGGTCACCTTCAGCCGGGCAGAAATCTCACTTCAATCCTGTTCCTGCGTCCTAGCACAAGGACAAGCATAAAAAAAAGGATGATGGAGATGGTGGTCACAACACAGCATCGATCTTCAAACACAAACTAAAACAAAAACTAATGAAAGTGCGCAGATAATAAAGAACTACGTCCAACAAGGTGAAAAAATCTGTACCCGTTCCTGCGTTGTTCTTCTTGTAGGTACCCATTTCCGGCGCGTCTGTGTGAGTGAGACCCGCGCTTGGGCCGGCCTCCGCAGCGGGCGCTTGCTTTTTAACCACCAAGCCCGTTTGCAGGAACGTCGGCTTCGCCAGGTTTTCGTAGACCATGGTCAGCTGCGCGATCGCTTTCCCGAGCAACTCCACCGCGGTGGACTGATCGGCGAGGTTTTGTTGGAACATGGCGAATTCCTCTTTTCGGTCCTCCTCCAACTTCCCCAAGGATTCTTCTGCCTCCTTGATCGCGGTTTCCGTCTTCGTCAGCGAGTCCATCTTTGCGGCCAGGTCCGCTTCCGCCTTCTCCAGCTGCCCGCGGAACTTGGACAGCTCGTTTTCCGCCGCGGCCGTCTCCTTTTCATATCCTGAGTAAAAACGTACCCACGCCAGAGTTGTAATGCAGATTTGCAAAGACAGGGCGACTTGTAATGCGCATCCCCATGAGAGCCATTTCCAGTCGTGTTTTGGAATTTGTGATGCTGTGAACAGGATGAGCAGATAAATTTGTGATGCGGCTGCACTTGCTAACCTGCACTACACTGCATAGTGCAACTTGTCAAGCGTGACTCACAAAACTCCTAGGTTTGTGTTGCAAAATCCCCATCCTGACTCTGGTGTGGGTACGTTTTTACTCAGGATATTTCATTCTCGTTCATCTTGGACACGCACTCGTCCTTCTATGAAAGCCTCAGAATGGAAATCTTCAAAGTGGAAATAATTTGTGATGCATGAAATGCAAGGCAAAAAAGACTGTATTGCAGAGGACACAATGGAGGCCGACTATTGTCCTGCTAGGGGTGAAGAATTGGACTGCTGATTACCACGACAGAAGGGCACCCCTTTGCCTAAGTAGCATTACAGACACGTTTTGAGTGCCCGGGAAATTTGTCATGCGCCGACTACAAATGGCGCTTCAACTAGAGTCGTTTTTTTGCATTACAAATCATTTCCACTTTGAGGAGTTCCAACCTGAGGCTTTCATACCTTCTGCTCCGTCTCCACTTCCTTCTTCTCCTTGATCTCAGAAATCATCGTTTTGATCGCTTCCACAACCCGGGTGAACGGTGCCAGCTTGATCTGCTGCGACAACAAGTTAAGAGCCGTCTTGCTCACCGACGCGCCAGGAAGCCGGGCCTGTGCTTGTTCAGATTTTTTTTTGCAAAAAAAAACTTTTTATTGTACGAATGAATCCGTTTTTGTTGGAGTCGTGAGCGAATGAAGTTTGCGTTTATTTCTATTTCAATTTATTCGTATTTGTATTTCATTGTTCAGCGTAAGAAATTTGGAAGAATCTCAAATCCACGTCTATGTGTTTGTTCATACATGGAAATACCAGATTCTGCACCACTTTGCTCGCCACCTCCTTGGAATTTTTCATCATGCCCGTCTGCAGAAAGGCGAGCGCCGGCGCCTTTTCCACGGTTTTGTCGAACAAGTCGCGGTTCTCGTCGCTGCCCAGAATCTCGACCGCCTTGTCGATAGCCTGCGACTCCATGTGTCGGTCCTCCGTGCGCTTCGCAAACTCTTCGGAGGATTTCGGACACACTTTTTTCACCTCCGCGAGAAATTCCAGATCGGCTGCCATCGTCTTTTCGATGTCCGCGATCTGCTGCTTGGCGTCGGCCGCCTCCTGCTTGGCGTCCGCCTTGCGGCTGGTTTTCGAGGTGATGCCCTTCTCCAGGTCGGCGATGCCCTCCTCCTTGGATTTTTTCAGCTTGTTGTAGGTGACCTTGTCTGAGGCCACCTTCTCCTTCAGGGTGGCCAAATCAGACTCGAATTCCTCCTTCATCTGGGCGAGGATCCCGAAAATCTGCCCGGACTGGCTGGAGTAGGCCGGGCTGGTCGGGTTCTGCTTCTGGTTCTGCCGGGTGTCCTGTTGCAGGAAGGCGTTCAGCTCCCGGCGCTGGCTGGGCTCGAGCAGCGCGTCCAGCATGTCGCTGTGCGCCGACACGTGCTTGCGCAGCTCCAAGACCACCTTTTTCTGCGTCAGCCCCGGCTGGTGCTTGTTCAGAACGGATATGCAATGTAAATTTCCCGCACATGTACAAAATGCATGACAAATTTCGCTAACTTGCAGTGTCCAACTTGTCATGCTAGACTAGGATTGAAGGCAAGTTTTGTCATGCAGAGACTGGGACTGCATTGGTACGTGTACGGGCAATTTACTGTGGATAACGGTGAGGGCGTTGGCGAGGGCGGTAATGGACTCCGTGTACTCGGCTACGGTCTTCCCATCTTCCTTATGCACAGAAAAAAACCAATCCACATCCATTTTTTGCATTACAAACACACGAAGTGATTTGATATCGATATGTGTTTTGCGTCACAAATTGGATGTGGATGGGTGTTTTTTCCTGGATATTCCTCGACCTGCTTCGTGTTCATCGTGATCAGCTCGTCCAGCGACTCGCGCGCCTGCTTCAGCTCCTTTTCCATTCCCTCCAACTCGGTCGCCAGCGCCGCGGCCTCGGCCGTGTTGGCCGTCACGCTCGCGCGCAACCGCTCCAACTCCGCCTGCGCCGCGGCCTGGGCTTCCGACAAGGTCATGTCGTTCTTCTTGCACCAACACTCCATCTTGGCGTACCTAGGTCGTTTGTTTCATGTGGCGCTCGAGAAGCCATAATTATTCAACTATGTATTTGCTGCGTGTCAGCAACAAAATCAATCGAATTCGGCTTCAGAGTTTTGTACAACTTGAACTTTTTGTTTTTGCACCAGGAAGGAGCTCCGCACATGACCGACGGGACCACGAGGACAATAAATTCTATACGATTTTTCGTCCTCGGCTTGGTCGTGTTCGATCTCGTCCCGCATGTCCTCCAGAATTTTGATCACCGCCGTCATTTTCTTGACCGGAGCAGCTGTGGTCGCTCCGGCGAGCAACGCTGCAGAAAACAAGCCTCGCTTACTGCGGGACAGCATGGTGGAAACAGCGGGAGCCATCTTCTGGTCGTTGCTTGAGTTGTGTCGAGCACACGAGGGAACTACTGAGACAAAGAGATTGAGAGTAACAGAAGCAGAACAACGAGTTCCTGGTGAAAGATCTGTGCTCTTGGTCGTGAAGCTGACCTACTCCTACACCTGCTGCTGCTACTAGGTAGAACAACCGTACTTAGAAGGAGAAGCGAATTAAAAGAACTCGAGCAATGCAATGCTGACCGTTGGCGCTTTTAAATGAAGTAGAACAATTCAAGCACAAAAGGCACAGCTCGGTGTCGGCAAGAGGCAAACGTATATTGAGCAACACGACCTGGAGCTGCTCGGCCAACACCAACGAGGACTGAGACGAACCATTCAGAATGCATACCGCAACCAGAAAACATCAAGCGACGAAGCAATACTTTAAACTTGAACTTCGCGTTAAAGATACATTCATGACATGCCCAGCATAAGATTAAGATCGTACAAATTCTCGGAATAGGTCGGCTTACGAAAATAGCGGCCTTTTATCCATTTCGCAACTAGCGCATAAGGACTGGTGCGTATTTTTCAAGCATAGGAACACGAAGAACAAGAACTGCCAATCCGTGTGCAATCTGACTTCATCGCAAGCATGAGTTGGCTTTGGTTTTGGAGTTGCTGTGTATTCCTCTTGTTTTCTTTTTGTTCCTTTACTCTAAAGTGAATGCACTCTTTGATTTTGACTTCTCTTGTTCTCCGATCGTTTTGCACGACGGAAAGTGCATTTCGACGTAGTTTGTCTCTTCTAGTTTCATTGTTTTTGATGTACGTTATTGATTTTCTGTCACTTGTGGGGCTATGCTTTTGAAAATAAACTTTCAGACATAAAAAGATGGAGTGGTCGTGACTTGTTGTTGTTCGACGAAGTCTATAGCTGCAATAGTTTTTTTTTTTCGCAAAAACAAAAAGGCAGCGCCGCACTCGCACTAGAAATACATACTTAGTTGACTCCGTGGGGTTCGCCAGCTGAGCTCCTTATTCTTTTGACATTTGTGTATTAGTGTGCCGGGTCCGTTCCATCGTTGCCGTAATACCCTTTCCCTTCCTCTTCTCGTATCCATCCGCGCCTATTCCTGCAGAATTTCCGGAGCCGCGACCGTTCTGCTTTGACGGCATGTACCGACGCTTCGAATTTGCGATCATCGACAAGTAGCTTCCTGCGACGCCATTTTTGCTGGCAGCGCTTTGAACTACTAGAGGACTTTCGTGTACCCGTGGGCGTTCGGACGAGAGGGTGGCAGGTAGTGCCGGCGGCTGCCACAGAGCCTGAACTACGTCTTCCCCCGTGGTCGAGGAAGGTCTGCTCTTTGCATCAACACTATCGTGTGGGCGCGTGGTTTTCTTCGCAGAAGCCGGAGTAGCCACGCCAGCCTTCAGACCGGCGGAAAGCCCGTAGCTTTTCTTCAACTGTGATACCGCTGCCAGGAGAGGTGCACAAGAACCGGGAGAAGACCTGCTACTCGGGGCGTTACGTGAGCGTGACCCTGCCGCTGTCCCGTCGTTGTTGTTCTTGCTTTCGTTTTGCAGAAGCTGGCCTCCCAAGAACGACTTGGGTGATGATGACGGAGAGCAGCGGGAATTGCCCCGCTGCCAAGCGATAGAAGCTTCTCCTTTATCTTGCTGCGCCCGAACTCCGTTTGCGTCTACTTCTGACAAGGAGGACGACGTGGGTGCCTTCACATGACGCGTTTTTTTCCCAAGAACCTCGTTGTCCTTGTCGCCCGAGCTTGATGCGTGATGCTGCAGCATGTGCAAGGACGCCCGTGCAAGAAAACTACGCTCGTCCGTGGCATGATCGCACTGGCTTGTCCGTCCTCGTGGATGGTGCTGCGCAGCCACAGGAGGGCTGGTAGGCGTAGAAGATGCAGGTGGTGGTCGCTCCTTTGATGTGCGGTTGTCCTGTGAAAAACGATGGCAGGACAACTGAGCGGAGAAAGTAGATCTTTATGACTGTTGTAACTGCTTCTACGGAAATTGCGAAATTACGTCGGAGTTATTCGCGAAGATGACTAGTAGAGGACTTTATTTTCATCATCATCTTCTAGACCTAAACCAATACCATAGCAACATTAATATGCTCCACCGGCACATCATACCTCATGTGTGCCTGCTTCCCGCTGCTTCGGCGCAAGCATTTGTGCGGCCGCAGATGAATTTGCAGATGCAGCAAAAAGGTAGGAAGTCGCAGGCGTACCCTGTTCACTAGGCGCAGAGAAAGTAAACTCGATGTCAGCGATGCACTTTTCCGTGTCTGCGATGCATCTTTCGGTCTCTGCTAGGACGCACCCAGCTGTCGTCAAGATGCTGACGCTTTCGTCAGGATTATTTGTGGTTTCCGTTGACTCATCTTCATTGTCATTCTTCACGGCTCCGCCGCGACCCGGAGTGAGAGGAGATGTTGTTGTTACTCGCTGCGACATAAAACAGGGCGCTCCCGCTCCCGCTCTCGCGTTCGCTGTTGCCTTGGTCGTCGCGTGCAGATCGTACTGCGCGAGCTCAAGCCGCATGTGGTCGCTCTTTTTCTCGCCGGGTGAGCCGCAACTAGTGGCAAGGGCGGCGCTGCGCTCCAGCTTGGATCTGGTGGTCGGAGTGCCGAAAGCGGGGGAGGATAGCCAAGTATACCAGGAGGACGAATGAAATGCATGATCACACTCTTCTACGCAATTCGTGCTCGTGGTGCTACAAGGCCTCGCCCAAGACCCGTGAAGTAGCAATACAGTAAGACTATCAGACCGTTCGCGTTCCCTTTCGAGTTCGACATCGACGGTGAGATTTTACAAGAATCAGTGTCAACTGTACTACCTCTACCTTCTGATCAAGCACCACAAGAACCATTTGCATTGTCACTTGTCTCTGATACAGATGGCTTCCACCAGTCGTGTAGCGCCTCGTTAGACGCGCGGACGAAGTAGAGGATGAGGCACTAGAAGAAGGAAACGCTTTGACATTCGTCTTCGTGGTCCCGAAGGCGCCGGGCGTCGGGCTTTGCATGAGAGCGGAGGAGCGCCGCGTCTTGTTTAGGAAAAGCACAGCACCCGAATCTCCGATGGCACTGCTGGGAGTGCGGCCTCCTACTTTGTGATCTCTTGCAGATACCGGCATCGATCTTCCAGTGGGGGGCGCAACGTTGAAGAGATGCAAATCTTGGACCGAAGGTTCCTTGCCGAGCCACGCTGACGGGGCTCCAGAAGTAGAAGCGATGGGGTTCATCGGTGGAGGCACCACTTCCGAAGGCAGCGTAGTACAGTCATGGCTTTCTTGAAATGTGGCTTCACAACTTGATGTCACTCCACTGAATGATGAAGCAGCGATTTGCGCAGAGCATGTCGCTACTTTAGTTCCTAATGTTGACCTTTCCGGTGATCTCACGCAGCCTGGATCCCACAGCTTCTCTTTACCTGTCATGTCGCGGTTCCTGTCACCCTCTACGTTCTGTCCACGCCCAATTGCCGGTTGCTGCGGGGCCAAGGGAGGGCCATTAGGTTCGTTCGGCAGGCGACCGTCGGGCGGCGCTCCTGCGAAGAGCAGCGTCCGCAACTTGGTGCGAATGTCAGACGCCGAAGTCGATAGAACTGAACTAGTTGCAGTTGCTTCGAGCGCAGCGTTATTTGCTGACTTCGTCTTTTTCGCATTGGAGGCTCCTTCGTTAACAGCTGCACTCGAAGTAGAGACGGCCCGATTGTGTTGCGTGTGCCGGGCAGGTGCAGATCCGTTTGCGGTCGCAGAATTACTAGGACCTGTGCTAGTGTTGTGAGCCGCTGTTATCGACGAGGGCGCTACCCCGACATCAATCGCGCCGGCTGCCAGCACGCGCTGCATCTGGCGCCGGATGCCACTTGTTGGGCGAGCGCGCGGACGCGCACGCGATGACAACGATGGAGCTGGCGCAGCTCTAGCTGCTGCATTACCGTTAGCGTTCTTCGGCTTCGTCTTCGATGTCGGAGTTCCTGGGGCTGCTCGCTCGACTTCTTCCGTGTCTGGTTTAATCTTCGGAACCAATGGGGTTGTACAGGAACCGTTTGGAGCCGCAGTTTCTTCAGTACCTCCTTTGGCTCCGTTGTACTCGACTCCGCTGGCTAACACTCCGAGTCTTCTAGTTGTCTCCTCCGTATCTGCGACGACCTGCGCTTTTGTCGCCTTGTTTTCGCTGACAGCACGATGAGGTCGTCGATCAATACTTTCACTTTGCAGCAGAACGCAAGGAAGTCCGCCGACGTGTGTTTTCGCATCGACGGTGGAGGTTGTATCCATATCGGCTGGCGCACTTGCACCAACGGAGCTCGGCGACTGCTCTTCTCCGCTGTCAGCATGGAGCAACAGCGGCGGGGGCCGCCGCATGGGTCGTTTAGCACTGGAGGGGGGCAATTTGTCCGCACTGCGGCCTGCGTACTGCAAAACGTTGCCACTCTCCATCACATTGACAGCGTCTGCCGCATCTTGATTTGCGAGCGTAGCTTCGTTTTTTCGGTTTTCCGTTGTTGATTCCGTGACTCCACCACTCGTGACCTGCGGTGCCTGTTTCAGGATCTGCTGTGCCGCTGTGCCTTGCCGCGCTTGCCCCAGACTGCAAGGAAACGCCGCAGCTGCGTTGCTTGCAGGTAGCGCCTTCGACTTCGTCTGCAAAGATAAAGGATCAGCACTAGAGGATGTTTCGGCAACATTAGACAATGTTCGCTGCTCGCTACGCTCCACCGCAACAGACTGCAGTATGGATTGCGTCAACGCCAAGGAGGCAGGAGTTGTTCCTGACCACGACCCCGCGACAACTTTCGTGCCAATAGGCGCATTCGGAAAACTACCAGCTGCATACATGCGGCATTCGGCTTCTCCATACTTCTTCGACGGTCCCACACCGCTGCTGAGAAGCGCATAGCTTTCCTCGCCTGTCGTCCGAAATACCAATGGACGCGAAACCTGTTCCCACAGATTGGACCTTGCGTTTCCTGTTGATGATGTCTGAAGACCAGATTCGCTATCGGTCTTCGACGAGGCGCCTTCGTGCCGCGGCGGCTCTTCCTCCAACTGCCACCCGACAAAGACGCCACAGGGGCAGCGGCATGGTCTTGACGTATAACCGCGAAACCAACTCGAGGACCGCGGCGAGGTGTTTCCTGCAAGCGCCGGCGTCACGGCGGGTGCAAAGCGGTTGACGCAGGCCAAAGGCACAAGGAGACCGAGCGGGTTTACCACGGTGACGAACAGGGCCCTGGCGTCAGCGAGACATTGTGCCTCTTCTGTGGCAGGCGCGAAGGGGCTTCTCCCTATGATCTGCGGCTTCGTCAGAAAGGCGCCTGCGAGATGATTGAGTTTCTCCTGCACGGGCTTCCCCAGGCCATCGAAGAGGTTCGCGCTCTCCGAAGCGTACCGAGGATGCAATAAGCTTGCCGTCGGCTCCCGCACAACATCCCGCGACCACACCCGCCCGCAGGCTGCGCACCAGATTGTCGCACAATTATCGATGATTCCTCCATCACAATGCTCGCCAAAGATCGCTCCAAAATGTCGACGCTCAGCAGCGGTTCCAGCGCGAACTACGATGTCACGGCCTAGCAAGATCTTCTGATGCTCCCGCATAGGTATAGTATGCTGGTGGCTCTGGCTACCCACGCGTCCCTGTAGACCGTCGCTCCAGCCGCTCGAGTTAGGGAAATCGGGATTCGCGGTCGAAGACACTGCGCTAAGCTTGTCGGTGCGTTCCGCTTCTCCACCGGAGCCGCCCCCTGGCCCTGGGGGGTTCAAAATAGAAATATCCACGCCGGTAATGGTGTGCGAATCGCCGGTCAACAACGACACCTTTCCGGATCGCGGAGTCATGTTCGACTTCGAGGTCGCTACCATTGCAACCCTTGGTACCGTTCTACAGCTGGGTGCCTGTTCTTGGGAAGCACTTGCGGCCGCTCTCGACGTTGGAACCCCACGAAGCAGGCCGCGCGAAGGCTGAGGTCCCGCGTCACGACGGGGTTCCCGCGAGAAAGCGAAACGGTACGTAGGGCCCGCGAGAAAGCGAACGGTTTTCCAGGCGGGCCATCCTTACATATTCGAGTCGTGGAAGAAGTAGTGGCGACGACAGACGGACCGAGACTGACAGAGATGTATACCAGCAGGAAAGACTGAATCTACTCGCTATTGGAATCGGATAAAGTAGATCGAAGAGATAGTGGTGCAGCTCCCGCTCAATCTTCCTTCACACCATTCATGTCTGCGATGAACTACAGCAGCTGATGCCCACACGGAAAGTGACTTCTACTACCACACTTGCTTCTCAAGCACTTCGACCTACACGTGTTGGGACTCTCATTTCTCTGGACGAAGAACACGGTCACAATAAAGATGACAGGACAGGAATAGCAGGCACTCGCGGGAGCGGCGGTATGGTTATGGAGCTACCACTTCCACTGCGTCCTGCTCTCACATAATATCTACTTTTTTTCCTTCGTGTTTCGTAAAAGGTACATTGCAAGTTGGTTTGTGAAGTTGAGAAATTTGGCTCCAAGAAGTGAAGTTGCACAACCATTGAACCAAAAGAACGACCTCTCGCATGCCAATAAATCGGCGGGCCAACTGTCTGCAGGCAGAGGAATCTAGTGTGCGGCGGCTTTCAAAGGAAGTAGTTGAAGTTGTCTTCATCTAAATAGAGTTAGTTGAAAATCTAGGGCATCTTCAGAAATACGTAACAATCGAAATCTTGCAAAGAGGACCACAACGTGCGCATCACAGAGGGAGACATTGCCGGCGGAAAGGTCAGCCTCATACGAACGTAGAAGTCCACGACGTCTTGTTCCCGCTATTTGTGCATTGTCGGTTCATTCTACTTTGTGTCACCAAATCAGACGACTTGCAATTCATTTTCACGGCGCGGCAATGGCAAGATCAGCAATCTATCGCAACCCAAAACGTAACTCCGTGCTTGCAACCCTAATCTGGGAGCATAAAGAACCATTCGTGAAACACCTGACATTTCAAGACTCGAGTTCGCAAAGCACCCCCGTTATGTGCGCTTAATCGACCTCTTCCATCTTGGAAGCCTCTGCGTCGGCTCCCTCGACCTCCTCCAGCGGCGGCAAGTCCTCATCCGCCTCATCCTCGTCATCGTCCAAAGACAGGCCGAGCTTGATCATGCGGTGAATGCGACCAGCGAACTGGGTCGGCTCGTCGAGGTTGAAGCCGGACGTCAGGAGGGACGTGTCGAAGAGCAACCAGACCAAGTCCTTCACCGTCTTGTCACCCTTGTCGGCGGTGGCCTTCGCGAGAAGTTCCTTCATGATCGCGTGGTTCGGGTTCAACTCCATGGTCTTCTTGCTGACCATGTAGGAGGTCATGCTCGAATCGCGGAGCGCCTGGGCCTTCATGATACGTTCCATGTTGGCGGACCAGCCGTACTCGGAAGTGACCAGCACGCACGGAGACTCGCTGACGCGGTTGGAGACCATCACCTTCTCGACCTTGTCGCCGAGCACCTCCTTGATCAGCTTGCAGAGGGATTCGAAGGAAGCCTTCTGCTCCTCCAACTTCTTCTTCTCGTCCTCGTCCTCCAGGTCCAAGCCCTCCTTGGTGACTGACTTCAACTTCTTACCGTCGAATTCCTTCAACTGCTGGACGCAGTACTCGTCGATTGGGTCAACCATGTACAACACCTGAGAGTAGAGTTTCACCGTAGGATGACTAAGAAGTTAGTGGGTCATCAAAATACTACAGCAGGATCACCAATCGCTAAGCCAAATTCGCTACCGATGGTAATGGTTCTTCCATCTTCGTTTGCTCTTTTTTTTTAGTATCACACATGCATTTGAAGCGCCAAACACAGAGAAGAAAAGGCTATAGATTACCTCAAGGCCCTTCTTCTTCAAGGTCTCGATGAACGGAGACGCGTCCACGGCCGCGACGCATTCGCCAGTGATGTAGTAAATGTCTTCTTGGCCTTCCTTCATGCGGTCGACGTATTCCTTCAGGGAGATGAGGTCATCGCCGGATTTGGAGGTTTGGTAACGCATCAGCTCCGCGACCTTGTTGCGGTTGGTGGAGTCCTCGTGGATACCGAGCTTCAAGTTCTTGGAGAACTGCTCGTAGAACTTTTTGTAGTCTTCGTTGTTCTCCGCGATTTCGGCGAACATTTCCAGGCACTTCTTGACCAAGTTCTTCTTGATGACGCGCAGGATCTTGTTCTGCTGCAGGGTCTCACGAGAAATGTTCAACGGCAAATCCTCAGAGTCGACGACACCCTTGACGAAGGACAACCACTCCGGGATGATGTCCTCGCAGTCGTCCATAATGAAGACACGGCGCACGTACAGCTTGATGTTGTTGCGCTTCTTCTTCTGTTCGAACATGTCGAACGGAGCCCGGCGCGGGACGAACAGCAATGCCTTGAACTCCAACTGCCCCTCGACAGAGAAGTGCTTGACCTGTTCATGTTGGAATTATCGGACATTCACACTGACTGTGCAAGAACTGCAAACAATAAAGTCAAGTTTTGGAGAACTGCAAACAACAAAGAAGTACTTATCGTGTTGCATTTCGAGGTGGTGCTCCTTCGAATCAATACTTAGTGGAGCGACACAGACGAGCCGACTTGTTACTACACGATCTGTAGATGGCGCAGGCGTCTTCAGCCACGGTAGTTTCCATACGAGTACACATACGTAGCAAAAGAAATGTCGGAAGCCATATGGACAAGAGATTCACCGAAATCTCAGAATCTCTTGCATGGAAGAAACATCCATTTTGGTGTAGCGATGGCATAGGACCCGCGTCTCCACGTGAACAAAGGAGACGTGGGGAAGATGAGCATCGCGAGAGAAATCATCGATATCACTGCCCACTTTACGATTACTGACTGTCTCGTTCACGACTCAAATCACGTGAATCAATAAACTAAAAATTGTACGGCCAAATGATCCTCCCAATCGTTGGACAGGCCCTTGTAGAAGGCAGCGTAGTCCTCGTTGGTGACCTCATCCGGCTTGCGCATCCAGATCGGCTTGGTCTTGTTCAGCTGTTCCCACTCGTGGGAGATTTGCTTGACCTTCTTGGTCTTCTTGGCCTTCTCCTCTTTCTCCTTCTCCTCGTCCACTTCCTCGACCTTCGGCTCGTCACCTTCCTTCTCCTCGTCCTCTTTCTTCTCTTCCTCCTCATCCTCGGAGTCCGTGACCTATTTACAATTTTTACGGATTGATATTTTCCCTGCTGACTGCCAGACTGGCTTCTCAGATCGATTTGGCTAGCAAACATTTTCACTCCTGTAGCTGAAACTTGCCGCAAAAAAAGAAAAACGCGACACAATTTATACCTCCTTCTCCTCGGACTTCTCGATGTACAGCTCGATCGGGAATCCGATGAACTCGGAGTGCTTCTTGACCAGGTCCTTCAGGCGGCGCTCCTCCAGGAACTCCGTCATGTCCTCCTTTAGGTGGCAGACGATCTTGGTTCCGCGCTTGACTTCACCGAACACCTGCTCGGTGTCCTTGACCACGGTAAAGGACCCACCGGCCGCGGATTCCCAGATGTACTGTTCATCGTCGTTGTTGCGGGAAACGACTTGCACCTTGTCGGCAACCAGGTAGGCGGAGTAGAAACCCACGCCGAACTGACCGATCATGGAAACATCGCCACCAGCGGACATAGCCTCCATAAAGGCCTTGGTTCCGGACTTCGCGATCGTACCTGTGGTTGTAAATTAAATAGTTACACAATGGCTTCCTTGATGAGGGCACATACAACAAAAAACAAACGACAAAATCACAATCTTCGCCTGATGCTTGAGGTCCAGCAGTCATAGGCAATTTAAAGAATCTGAAAACAAGTCGCTTGAAGCGACAATCACGAGCTCCAGGCAAACGCGCAGGAAGTAAAAAAAAGGTGAAGCGCAAAAGCGTACCCAAGTTGTTGACCAGCTCGTTCTTGGTCATACCAATCCCGGAGTCTTCGATGGTCAGCGTGGAGTTGGTCTTGTCCGGAATGATCTTGATGAAGAAGTTCGGCTGGGACTCAATCTTCTCCGGGTCCGTGATGGACTCGTAGCGGATCTTATCCAGCGCATCGGAAGCGTTGGAAATCAACTCACGCAGGAAGATCTCCTTGTTGGAGTAAAAGGTGTTGATGATTAAGGACATCAACTGCTGAATATCAGCGTTGAATGCGAAGGTCTCCGCCATCTTGCCAGGTTTTTGTCGCAAAAGAACGACGACTCAGTAAGGAAGAGAAATTCCAAGTGCAAAGTGCTTGCAACCAAAGTGCAAGTACAGCAAATCGCTAGTTCCTGTTTATCAGAGCACAGAAATGCTTTTTCCCATGAAATCCTGAAACATCAGACTACTTCGTTCCCTAAACACGCTTTGCGTCTTGCGCCACCACGAGTCCTCGTTGGTCTTGTTTTTGTGATCTGCGCAAGCGATGAAAAGCGGATCTAAATTTTGAATCAGAAAGATGGAACGGCGATTTCGTGTCGGACAAAATTTCACTTCTCATCACGAAAGACGTGATCGCTACCACATCCCTGGATCGTTTTTAGTTGAGGATCAAGATCGTGTTCTCAGAAGGGGAGATTTGGATTTGCTCTGCCGACACTGCGCGGAACCAAATTTTACTGTAGTGACGGTGGAAAATGTGGAGACACAGGAGCCGCCTAAATCTTTAAATTTTTTGCCTTCGAGGGATCTCCTTGACTTAACATCATGAAGCTGATCAATGACAAAGTGACTTACTCTTTGTGGGAAAACTGTAAAGAATAACTGCTCCAGAACGACACCTGAACCTCTTGGTCTTCGTCTTGGACTCGGGCGAGATTTGTGTTCCTTCGTCCTTGTGCAAACACACTGCGTGCGAAGTCGTGCCTCGACCTTTCCATCTGAAACAACATCTCAAACAGCAAGAAAGATCGTATTTCACACCTACACCACGACGAAAGCAATCATCTGGACGGCGAGGAGGTTTATTCCAAGCTCATTTCTACAGCTCTCGATTAACCTTCTCTGTGAAGGACTGTTCGTCATAGCGCTCCGTCAATGATGGCAATCGTCTTAGCGTTGGATCACTCGTTAAGGCCCGTCGGAAGGCTTCTTGCGCTACCTTGAGGTGCTTCACGCTGGCGTAGCCGTGGACCCACAGATTGAGGCGGCGTTGCAGTTCCTTGATCTGCTTCTGCAGCGTGAACTCACTCTCCTCTTTTTGCCGCTCCAAGTCCCGGCGCTTCCGCTCCTCTTCGTCTTTTTCCCGGCGAGCTGTCTCTGCCTTCTCAATCAAGTCTCCATGCGCAGTCGCCATTGCGAGTTCGTGGTGCGCCGTTAGTTCCTGGATGGCCAAATGCTGCTCCCGCGTCTTCATGCGCGCCACTTCTTCTGACCTACCACAACAAACAAGAACGAGAACTACTTTCTTGAAAAAATCAAAGTTTTTCACTCGTACAAAATAAAACTGCATGATGATGTCGCTTGCGTTCTTTATCTTCCTTTCGCAAAAGAATCTACTAAACGGCACTCCATGTTGTCTATCGCGACATGTTGTATGAGCATCAGCAAAAGAATCGTCTTTACCTCTTTCTTTCTTCCTCCTCGGCTTTCCTTCGATTTTCTTCCCACTCCCTGCGTGCCTGCTGCAGGTTGTCCGCGAACTCCTTTTTGATTTGCGTTTTGGCCGCTGCCAGCTCGTGCTCCTTGTCTGTGAGCATTTTTTGCGTCGCTTCCTCCTTCTGGTGCAAGAGTTCCTGCGCTTCCATGTTTTTGGCCAGGTCCAGCTCCCGGAGCGCCTGTTGCTTGTCCCGGTCCATCAGCGCCTGGCGATCGACCTTTTCGGATTCATGCTCGATCTTCAGTGCGGACAGCGCGTTCTCGAGCCGCAAGTCCTGGCGCTTCGCCTCTTTCGCCACGGCTTCAGTCAACTTCTCGCCGTGCTCACGCCGTAACTTCTCCTCGATCTGGTGACACTTCGCCTGCGAAACGAGGAAGAAAAAACTCAGCTCACAATCTCCACATCCAATGAAGAACGCACACAACTTTTCCAGGCGGCGTGATGAAATAATGCAGAACGAAGAACGTGCATATCACCCTTCTATCGACTGTGCTTTGAGTATGAACGTCGTTGTTGAAATCGGATGACCATGAAGATGAAAAGTACTTATACCTCAATGCCCGCGGTTTTGGATGCGGCGATCTGCTCCGCTTTTTTTGCCGTGTCCAGTTGTTCTTTCAGCTCCTGTTCGGCCTCTCCAAACCGGTCTTTGTAGTAGCTGTGTTTCCGTTTCCAGTGCTCTACCTCCAGCACGTGCGCTTCGCGGTCGTTCTGCAGCTTCTTTTTCAGTTGGGCAACCTCATTCTCCCAAGCCTTGACGCGCACGTCGATCTGCTTTTTTTCCTCCTCCCACTCCACTTCCCGCTGGGCCAGAAAGGCGCTGCACTCGGCCTCGATGAGCCGCTTTTCCTCTTCCAAAATCTATGGATGTGTCAGGTTCGAAATCGACAAAGTTGAAACACAAATATACGCTTTGTCATGCATAAAATGCGACACAAAGACTGACTCTATTGCAGAAGGCGCAAGGGAGGCGGATTCTAGTGCTGACAAGGGTCAAGAATTGGGCAGCTGACTAGCATGACAGGGAGCAGCCAATGGCTGAGCCATCTTGTCCTAAACAGCATGACAGACTTGCTTCAGAGGCCAGGAAAATTTGTCATTTGCCGATTGGAAACTGTGTGTCCAACTGGTATAGATTTTACGCATCACAAATTCTTTCAACTTTGTTAATTTCAATCCTGACAGCTCCGTAAAATCCGTTCCAGCCGCATCCGCTTTGCGTTTTCGTCCTCCTGGATCCGCTGCAGCGCTTGAGAGGAATCCGTCTGGATCTTGTCCACCAAAAAATCCTTTTTCCGCAGCAAATCCGTGAAAATCGAGACGTAGTGCTCGTGCGTCGCCAGAAGCTGTTTGAACTCATCCTGCATCTTCGCCATCTGCTGCTGGTTCAGCAGATGGGTGCGGCTCCAGTTCGGTTTCTGCCGCTGGCCCGTGTTGAGCACCGCTTTTCCGGCAGGAAAGGATCCGGATCCCCCACTTCTTCCGGGGCTCGTGGTCGCCGCCTGAAGTTGCGAATGCTGGCCTCCGAAATGTAGTTCTTGCGTGCCGGCGTAATTGGCTTGTTCCTCGTCAAAAGTGTCATAATCGTCGTCGAGGAAGTTGTCGGCATCGTTATAGCCTGCAGCTCCTAGAGCGGTCGTCCCTCCGTGGGACGCGCTGCGGGGTCGGAAATTTACTCGAGATGAAGATGCCTGACCTGTTGGTCGGGTGGTCGTCGTAGTCGTGGAAAAAGACGCAGATCTCGCCGTGTGCGACCCCAGACCACGAGCTCCCGCGGGTCCGCGGCCGGAGGCGGTGGGAAACGTGACTCGACCCCGCCTTCCTGGAGAATTTGGTGAGGGTGGGCTAACACCAAGAGCGACGTCTGGAGTGGTTCTTGCTCCACTCGGAGCGGCAGCCGGTCCGCCCACAACTCCACCGCTACTTGTTCCGTTTGCCCGCTCTGTGAGTCTTTTGTTCTTGCGCTGCAAGCTCGTAATGGCCTCCCGAGCCTCAGCCCCCTGCAGGTGGTACTTTTCATGCAGGAACTTTTTCTCGAAAACGAGATCCTCATGCTCCTTCAGCACATTTTGCAGCTGCTTAGTAACGTGCTTTAGCTGCGCCTCCTTCACACGAAGGTCGGCTCGCAGCGGCCCCGCAATCCGTGCGCGATACAGGCTCTCTTGGTTCGCAGAAATTTCGCGCTCCAGTTGGGCTGTGGTCGGCTTGCTTGTGGTTGCAGCGCTAGCGCTAGTCGCACTACGAGACAAGGACAACTTCTCATCGTGCCGGCTATGTTCTTTTCCGTCGGAATGCATAATGTCCAGCGCGGACATCAAGGCAGCTCCACGCGACGATGAAGAAGCAGGCTCCGACGGCAGTCCAGGGGGACTCGATTTGGTTGGCTTCATCCTTTCGGCTCTTCCTCTTGATGTTCACAAACACAACACAACAAATGCAATAAATCCATACCGACAGGACCGACCTCCTACCTCTTCCACAAAAACCAAAAAATGTAACTTCTGTGCGACACTTACAATCGGAAAGAGGTGAGGACCTTTCATAGCACGAATTCGAATGGAAGAGCACAAGGCCATCGATGATACTGCGATGCGATTCTTTGCGACGACGATGGCGATGAGGAATAGGAATAGCGAGTAGCAGAGAGTTACCTGGAGCTGGATAATATCAAATCACGATGAGCGACGAGTCAGCGAGTCAGTGCACTACAAACGCCGCGGGGGACTGACAAAATCCGAATCAAAGTGAAGCAGTATGCACAAGGCTAAGGCAGGACGCGACTAATGCCGATGCGAGGGCGAGTCTAAAAACAAAAAGTGGGTGTAATGGCTGCACCGCCTGAGCAAGCCCGCATGGAGCCTATGAATGTGATGTGGCTGTTGTAAAGTAACACTACTTTAGGAACCGCCCCCGACCTCATCTGACAACCAAGAGCGCCTAGACGCAAACTGTGGCTGGCGAGAATCTGGCTTTCCTGCTTTTTTTTTCCGCGTCGGCTTTTCCTTTTGCGTCTCTAACTTTATCGTTTTGGAAACTTCATCGGCGAGCTATCAGTATCTTCGGGCTCAATCGTTCACAAGAAAATGATGTCCTCGTATCGTTCTCAATCAGCGTTTACGTCGCGAATGTTTTTCTTGCTTTTCTTTGTGGCAATGGCGAAGGCAAAATTTGGTATTTTTTGTGATGCTACGATGCATTTGCTTTTGCATAGCACTGCTCTGCTCACCACCCATATTTTGTAGCAGTGGGGGTGCAAGAGCCAACAAATGAACTAGAATTGCTGCGATGTTGATGATATGGTTGATGGCGAAAACGAGAGACAGAGGCTAGGAGTAAAAGATGGCAAGTTCTTCAAGTAGCAGTAGGTAATGAAGCATAATTATACATTCGTTTTTCGACTATACGTACAAGAGGGAGCGTGTTACATTTCAAAGGTTTTTAAATCGGCGTAGAATGCGATGTAGACGCCAACGCTTCACCGAAGTTGAAGCGGAGACATAGTACACGGCTTCTACAAAGTTGCTCAGATGTCTTTCATCCGGGGCGGCAAATTCACTATTTACTCGAAACTTTTTGCAGTGCCCTCGGCAAAGAAATTGTTGTCTGTACGCGATCGTTTTCCGAGTTCGGTGACAACACGCTCGTATTGGCTTTAGAAGACTCAATGAGAAGGAGAACAAATTCTTGACCGAGAAATAATCATACATTCAGACGAGCTAGTACCGCATCACCTTTCGCTTTCAAGCAGGAAAGAAGAACTTGCACCGCAATGATATGCATATGCAGAGCGTCTGATTGATACTTACGGGTTGCCTCCACCAGGTGTGATTATGCCTGAGGCTAGTTGCGAAAGAAATCGAAATGGAAATGCTGATATTATCCAACGGTTTGTATTTTACCAAGTATTTCCTTTTCCGTCGCTATCGTCTCGTTATTTGTTCAGGCTTCGCAGGGGGAGGGATTTTCTCCTTCCGGTTGGCTTCAGGTGGCCCAATACCGCTGGGTAAAAGGCGGTCCCCTCCGGCTTCTGTTTTTTCTTCCTTACCGGCAACGGCGGCTCGTTCTCGAATTGGGACACGTTCTTCTGAAATTCCTGTGCCAGTCGGTCTGTAGTTGGGCGAGAACGAACCATGATCATTGGGGATGGGGGCCGCTTGGGCTTGTTCGAGTGTGATGATACTGCTGACAGAACGGCTCTCGTATCGATTTGAATTTCGAGAAATGTTAACGAACGAAGTGCGCCGGGGGTCGCGTGCGAGTGACCGTAGGCAGTCATGCTGAGTCGCAAAAGAGTACAGCTGAAGATCGATACGGCGGCCAGCGAGCCCGTTTGAGTCTGTATTTAGTATTTCTAGTATCAAAGCAACATTTATACTAGCATCCGCGAAGCGTGGCTCTCTAGTTTTCCAGGTCCTAGAAGCGGCCACCTGCAGGTTCTGCAATTTCTGTTTGGTACGTCCGCGATTTATCGCTGCGTTTCCGAGCGCTTTCCCGGTATCAAATGTGATCAAGTGCTGCTCTACCGGCGAGGCTCTGGTTTCATTAGTCGAGAAAGACCACGTCGATACCGTACTGGTGCAGGATCCTGGCTGGTTCGAAAACCGCGCATCGGAGGACGAGGAAAGCCCGTCTTCGAAGCTCCCAGTGGTTGACTGTGATATTGGTGTTGCAGTATGAGTAAGACCCTTGACCTCCAGTTCCTCGCATAAGGCTGGTGGACTCGACTGTGTGTAGGAGAGGCTCGCACATGACATCAGCGCGACCACGTCCAGGAACCAAATAATGATAAATCAAACTGCTAGAAGGCGAATCCTTGTACGTACAACCAGTATGATTACGAGTGACGATCATGCAGAGCTGCTACAGCAAGATGGCCAAGCAGTGAAGAAGAGATTGAAATTGTTCAACAGAACTTGTTTGACTTTTATTTTTGAGAGGTCGAAGAGAGAACGAGAACCTCTATCCTGTGCAAAAGTATCGCACTCGTATAAATCTCGCTCTGTTATGCATAAAACATCTCGGCAACTTCTCACGTACTTCCAACCAACTTCCCGCCAACTTCTCACCATCTTCTCCCCAATCTTTTCACCAACTTCCCAGCTGTTGAGAAGTTGGCGGGAGTCGGCGGGTGGGTTTGTTCGGGGAGTTGGCACGGATTTGAGCTTACTTTAGGCGCGCCAAATTCTCTACCAGCCTTTGGCTGGTGTCTCACGAGTTTGCCGGATCTCGATTCGTGGCCGCGTGCGCAGTCGCGAATCAGTTTGGCTGTGCATACTTACTTTGGTCGCGCCTCCGCGCAAATGTGAGCGCTGTGGGAGCTCCAAAGCCTGCTTTTGCAGAAAGGCTTTGGGCTTCTAAGACTCTTAGAAGCCCAAAGCCTTCTCTAGCTTTTCCCAAAAGACAACTCTTAAAGAATGGTCTTTTGGGAAAAGCAGAGCATTCTCTAGGAAATGAATTTCACGACAACTTCTCAGCAACTTCTCGCCAAATATCTTAGATATGTTGGTCGAGAAGTTGTTGAGAAGTTGTTGAGAAGCTGCAGAGCAAAAAACGCCGCAAACTGTGTAGGATACACGCAAACTTGCGTTTTTTACCACAAGAAAAGCAAGGGCGTCTGCGAAGTTAAAGAATTTGATTTATATCTTGTCCGAGAAGTTGTTGAGAAGTTGTTGAGAACTTGAGGAAAACTTGTTGAAAAGCTGCGGAGAAAAAAAGGCTTTACTTTGTGTAGGTGTCACGCGAAGCTGCGTTTTTATCCGAAAGAAAAGCAAGGGCGCTGGCGAGGTTAATGAGTTAACTAAGCAATTAGCTAGCTCATTAATGGATTAGTTAGCTCCTGCGGCGTCCAGCCCCGGCTCCACAACGTCGCGCGCAGCTTTATTTCGTCTGTGGTGCTTGCGTCTTTGCGTGCAGCCATCACAGATGCGCCTTTTGATACATCTTCTCTAAGTCTTCGCGCATGGTGCCGTGATGCCAACTGGTCGAACTGCGCCGCAGATGAATGGAAACAATGACACTGGGCGTCTGTCTATTTATCTGCAGCGCAAACTCTCCTTCCAGCCCTTGCAGCTGCAGCTGCAGGCAGCGAAGGCGGTAGAACTCGCGGCGGTGGAGTGACGTGCCACGCCACTCGGCCGAGGCGATGGCGACGCCAACACACCCGGCCACCTCTCACCGGCTTCCAAACCAACTTCGCCGCGGACTTCTCACCCACTTATCCACCTACTTCTCAACAACTTCCCACCAGCTTCTAAGTTTTATCATGGATCAAAATCGGGGAGGATTTATACGAGTACGATACTTTTGCACTGGATAACCTCACTATAGCTACGATCATTTTCTTTACCATCCGTTCGAACAGCGGGACAGAGGCGACACTTGAAGCTGGCGACCGCGGCGGGCTCCCACCGGTAAACAGTATCACCGTAATTTTCAGCATGCGATCTCTGCTACGGTTTTTGATGCCACTCGTCTCAAATTTTAATTTACAAGAACTACTTGCAGTGAAATAAATGACCAGCTGGAGACAAGGATCTGACAAGACGAGGGTGTTGCAAATCCAAATGCATATCGAAGCAAGAGTGGCGGCTCGCGATGGAGAAAAAGCAATGCTAAATTGTATAATTTTTCTCGCCATAAGAAACGTGGTGTGCCTGACAGGAGTGCGCGCCCCACTCGTCGCGCGCGTGGATGGCTGCCTGATGTTTCAAGTAATTCAGTTTTCAAATTAGGTTCATCAAACATTAACATATCTCGCTCAGGCTTCTTCATTCATTAACTCAATCTGTTGGATCGCTTGAGGCTCTTCAGCCGCCCGTATCTCAAAAACAAAGGAAGAGCAGTGATGAGCATGAGTCAGTGACAAAAAAATGAAAACAAGTCACAAATAAAAAAAAGAACGCTGATACGTCGTTGTCGTCGACGACACTAGGTTGAGTCCGCTCGTCCGCGTTGTTTCCGTTTTCTTCTTTTCTACGTCTCCTTCCGTCTCTTCGACGCGCATGTCCCCGAAAGCGCTCGGCTTCGGCAGATCCGCGGCGTGCACCGAATGCCTCCGCTGCTTTTCCAGCGATTCCAGGTCGCAGATCGCGTTTGCGCGGTTGCGCTTGGGCGACGGCAAAAACAGCGGGAGCGGCGGCTCCGGCTCGGGCTTTGACACGATTTTGTGGTACTCGAAGTACTCTCCCTGCTGCATTTCCTGCACCTTTTGCACTTCTGTGGCGGAATCCAGAATCATATTCGGATTGCGATGCACGTGAAAGTCCTTGTCATTGCTAATTCTTGCGGGAGGGGGCGCGGGTCCCGTGCCAGTTGTTGTGCTGGTGACCAATTGGAGTTTCTTCTCGTTTTCCGTCTGTGGTTTCAACAGCTTCGAGAACGCAAACTCCTTTACCAGTATGCAATAAAACGGTCGGTGGGTGCAAACTAGTACTAGTAACGTCGCGCGACATATTAATGGTGATGTAGCCTTTCGATCAATTCGACTTGCCACTCCAACTTACTCTAGTACTGTTCAGTACGCATTTGCATTGGTATTTCATACTTGACCACTACAATCACAAGCAGTAACAATCCCTTGTGCTACATTTCTATTGATTAATACCGTCGATCTACAAAAACTACAAGTTTAACTCTTGCTGCGTAGTAGAGGTCCTCGGTTGCTTAGGTTCACCAGCCCTACTTTCAAACAAAAATAAATGAAACGCGTTTTTTGTGCAACCACCTTTTTTCGGTATCATAGACTGCTCGCCCTCCCAGCGTGCGATTGCTTGGTCAACAATGGTCTGCCAGCCCGGGACTCCGTACTTACTGATCGATTTTTGTTGCAACAAATAAGCGGCAAGCGAAAAGAGTAGAACGATGCAGAAGTACGTTATGCACTTGGTACTGTTAACGCGAGCCAGACGCCAACCGGAGCAGAAGTTCAACCTCAATACAAGCAACGATACACAGTGACACTTGGTCTGCGGCTGAGGCTAGCACGATCTCTGCAGTACGACAATCAAATAGAAAAACGTAACATCAAGTAGACAAAAACTAGAAACCGATACTTTTCGATCTCGGCGTCGTCAAGAAAGGTTACGCTTCTGTGCTGGTACGTCGTCCCATCTTTCCGGGCCATCGCGAGCTGGTTGCGTAAATTTGCGATTTCTTTTAGCGCTTCTTGGCGAAAATTGGTCAACTTTTTCACTGCCTCGGTGTACTTCTCGGCCACGACCTCCACATACCTAGAATTTGATATTTCGCGATACGGCACAACTGTGTTTCTTTTTCATTTTGTGTTTGACTTTCCGCGTTTATAATCATATCAGCCGATTCTACATAGGATCTGACGCACAACAAGAACGATGATGAGCCAAATGATCATCACAACGGAAAATGAATGCACTTCAATGTTTGTATTACGCGTCTTTGAGAGCGGCAACTTTCCGGGACTCTTCAAGTTTTGAAATCAAGTGCCGGACGGACCGGGCATAGGTTTCTGCGCCTGCCCCGTCCTCCTCCTCTTCGTCGCCTGCCTCGTCGTACAACCTCGTAGCGGGAAAAGTGGAGCTGGAGCTCCCCCCGTCTTGAAAGCTGCCCCTCGCCCGGACCCGCAGCTCGCTCCGGTGCGGCCTTTTCGCGTACACGGTCACTCGGTCCTCCCCGTGGGCAGAAGAGTGACTGGGGAAATACTCGTGTAGTGTATTCGTGGCATTAGTTATCAGATCTGCCGCCATGCAGGGGACAGCGGTAAAATTCTCCGACGAGGAGCTACAGCTACTCCCCAGGCTGCTGCCCGTCGAGGTTCCTAAGCGCACCGCAACGCCGACATCTAGATCGAGCTCTGGGGCCTGAAACCGGATACTGAGCAACTTGCTCTTCTTCTTCAAATCCTGCAGGCTGGCGGCCGCCTCAAGCGGATGCTTCGTCACCTTGGATGATCCCATGGAAAGATTTGTCGTTTTTTTTCCTCAGTATCGATCACGATCACGAGTTTGGCTCTTGCTTTTGGTTTTGCTCACAAACCGTGCTGTCAGACCATGCTTATTTTATTCAGTCACCGCGGAAGGATCACCCTATGGATGATCGCTCGATGGGAGCATCTCCCACTGCGTCGCACGAGGAGGCGCCCTGGAAGCACCTACCCCACCGGCGGAGGCCGGTACGCCGAAGCAGCCCAAAGAACCCGGCGCGACGCCTGCGGCCAGACGATGAATTTGGGAAACCGGTGCGCCCCATAGACGAAGGCGTAGCGATGACGACGGACCGACCAGTGGCATGTACCCGAAGTGGAAAGCTTCGAGCGGACGAAAACCGATAGCCTTGCGGCCTCGCGTTGCAATGGGATCAGAGGATCGAAGGACAAACCACCAAAGAAAGCCAAGGGCCTTGGCTTGGGACGGAAAAAGTTCGCAAGGGTAACGGGTTCGAACCGCCAGTGCCAAACGACCCTCCTTCCCAAAGCAAGGCGAGACCGCATGATTCCGTACTCTCGCTGCTATCGCCAACGTCAACGAGAATACAATCAGGGCTGCCAACATTGTCCGCACAACGGATAAACCAGAGATGCCCAAAACTGTCCGCAAAGCGGATTGGGCTAAACTTTCCGCCGAGCGGATGAGATCAAACTTTCCGCCAAGCGGAATGAGACCAGACTTTCCGACATGCGGATGCGACCAAACTTTCCGCCAAGCGGATAAACCAAACTTCCCGCAAAGCGGATTTGACCAGACTTTCCGACAAGCGGATAACCAAACTCTCCGCAAAGCGGATGAGACCAAACTTTCCGACAAGCGGATGAGACCAAACTTTCCGCCAATCGGATCGCCAAACTTTCCGCCAAGCGGATGAGACCAGACTTTCCGACAAGCGGATAAAAACACTTTCCTGAGGCGGATGGACCAGACTTTCCGACAAGCGGATGAAAAAACTTTCCTGAGGCGGATGGACCAGACTTTCCGACAAGCGGATAAAAGACACTTTCCTGAGGCGGATGGACCAGACTTACTACCATCGGCAGGGGCGTTACTCCCTGAGGATAAGAGAGAAAGGAAATAAACTTCAACCCAGACCGGGAAGAGGTTCACCCTCACAAACATCTTGTCCTGGCTACCGGAAAAGGGCGAGGCTCGGACATGTATAAAATATCGCCCGTCCAGCCTCAGCCTAGACTCACAGGCTCGCTAGCCTGCTACTGCCCGGGCATACATTTATTTATTGGCGGTTCCAGTGGTCGTGTTCGTGTAGCTGCAACGAATGACAATCACCTCATAATTGAGATGGAGGACCTGGAGCCCACTTCCGTGGTCTTCGACTTGCTTCTGGCTGCGACGAACAAGGAGCCCACTTCGTAATTCTCTCACAACTACTTTGTAAAGCCATGCTTTACCCGGGAAACAAAGTACCATCACAGGAAGGAGCAAATGGAAAACTACGAAGCAAATCTTTAATTCTGGCAGGCCGGTTCAAGAAAAAGGTCAAAAAGTACTTCACCACATACTAGATTTCTCTGCACCACATACAACATCTCACACGTTATTGAAGTATCTATCTATCAGTATCGGCTCTCGCGCTCGAAAGATCACTCTCCATACTGTGATAGACATAGATAGTAGGGTCCTGCAGAAGCCACGTCACGTTCATTTCTTTGTGGTTAGTACGAAATACTAGCATGGGTAGCGGTAGGAGTGGAGGGAGCGCCTGCATCTGGATACATGCCGAAAACAGAAGGATGGCGTCACCGTGTAATACCGCGCTTTTCCACAATGCGGCACTGAAGCGCAGCGTATCAAAGCAGATGCTGATGCACAATGCATCGTAATCGAAGCATAGATAATAAATTTCTGTCCTTTTTCATCACATGCTGTAATGCTATTTCAAGCTTTACATTGCAAAAATAAATCCACAAATCGCTTTCGAACGCATATTTAAATCAGTCGTTTACGTTTTCTGGTACATCATGAAATTCTGGTTTCCAATTCCATGCTTATACCAAAACCTCCCTTGCATGGACCTTTCATCCCGGGGTACTTTGACCCACTGTGTTGAAACACGGGGAGCGGGAGTATTGAAACACTGGGCTGCGAGGGCGACTGCACCAAGGCGCAACGCCAAAGTTCATGATCAATTTCATCGTCTACATCTAGTCTGCATGATCAGCAACATGTACATGAACTTCCCTTTTTACAAAAAAGAGCGACGGAATCATGTCCACGTTCCGTTGTGCCAAAAATAGATGTAGATTATAGCACATGCACACAAAATTAAATTCAAATTCACCCGCACAAAAACCCTGAAGTAAATCGCAGATGGGATTCGAGTGGAGTATTGATTTTCTAAGGGTGAGCAAAATACTTCCGACTGCGCAGAGTAGCTATATCAGCATCTGTAGCAGGAGCAATCGGAATAGTGTCGAAGTTGTGCAGACCACAATTCGCCGTCGCGGTTGTGCGGCACCGGAAACAACTGCTGACCTGCAACAGATGTCGAAGAAAATGAGGACTTGCCTGCACCAGCCAGAGAAGAAAGGCAAAGGCTCCCATTCTACTACTTCTTCGGCGCAACGTGTTTCACCACTCCGTCGGGGAAGCGGATTTCTTCGCGCAGGTCGGCGTATATTTTTTTCGTCGTGCCGTTTGCGAACTTGATTTCTTTCTCCCCGGTGGGAAAGTGCCTCTCGATTTGCCCGGAGGCGAATTGAAAGACTTCGATGCCGGTGGAAAAGGTGGTTTGCGTTGCGGCGGTCTCGGAGTACCGGTAAATCACGGTACCGTCTGCGAGACAATGCTTCGTGTCCCCGTTCGTGAATAGAACAGTGCACCGCGCGTCGGGCCACAAAACCTTCTTCAGCCCGTTCGTGAACCTGTGTATATTTCTTCAAATGGATGGCCCTCACAGCGGTGTCGTGCTCGTGCGCAGGCGGGACATGATCATGAACATGAACATGATTCACAAAAAAAAACAACTGACATCAGCGTAAACCAAAGCAGAAGATGTAAATTTTGTGGTCCTCCTTCTCCTATGCCTATCTGAATCCCAAAAATAATTTCAAATTTCATTTTCATCAGAAACTAACAATACTGAATTTCCCGCCGCCCGTCTCGGAACATACGCTCAACGCGGCCGTCTGGAGATATCTTTTCGGTGGGTATTTCGTGGGGATCTTTCACGTTATCGTCGATTACCGGTAGCGATTTCAGGATTTCTGTAGCTAGGTCCTGACTTATGCCCATCTCCCCGGCATTTGCTCCCGCCGCCGTTGGCTTCAGGCCCGCGCTCAGTGTCTTCGATGCAGAAGGCGTCGTCCCGTTTGACGGAAGCGGAGCGAAGTTTGAAGAAGCCGTCGCTACTGCATGATTTGCGCGGGTGTTCAGCATGTGAAAAGAGCCCGACGTGGCCGCCGAGGAACTTGTCATGGTCGCGCCCACTTTTGTAGATGCTGGTCCACCAATCTGCATGACCCCGGCACTGGGATTCAAAAGCGCGGCGGTAGAGGAGGAGTTTAAGCCAACACTGAGGCCGAGACTGCCCACCGCACCACTCGCGGGTCCTGCGCTTGGTTGGTGCTGCACCAGCCCGCTCGTGCCGCTGGTTCGCATCCCGGGCTGGAAAATACCGCTGGAGCCCAGCAGCGGCGCCGGGCGGGTCAGCGCGTTGGCGGACAGCGTTCTGTGCTGCTGGTGCTGCGCCGACGCAGTGAGCGCCGGCTGGTGATGCATTGGGGTACTGTTCGCGCTGCTTGGCACGAGTTGCGGGGTCCCTCCGTGGTGAGACTGGTGGTCCAGCGAAACAGGCATGTGACCAGCGGTAGAACTCAAGGCTGGGCTGTTTTGCGCTACAGTGGCCGCGGACGCGGCTGCTGGCGCTCCAGCGGACGCAGGCGTGACCTTTGAATGATTGGAACATAGATTGTCGAGGCCTTTTTTGCTTTCTTTGCTTTGGGATATCTGTATCACGAAAATCGAATTGTGTTTATTTTCATCTTGAAAAGATCTCAATTACGATGATCAAGTCAAACTGTACAGTTCGCTCGGGAGGAGAGCTGCCTCCACCACCAGCGTTGGCGGCGTATTTTTCCGCTTGCCGATTCATCCAGCTCAAGTCATCCTGAAGCTCGGAATTCTTCTTCAGAAGTTCGTCGTTTTGTCGCTGGAGTCGCTCAATTGTGCGGCGGAACCTAAGAGGGAAGATTGACTTCAAGAAGACAAATAATTTACTTATCAAAGAAGTTGCACACTACCAATTGTCGCTGCGTCATGCTGGTTCCCTGAAAATCACTATGATCATCCTCTTGTCAATACATATACAGCAGCATGATTCCATCGGAAAAAGAGAATCACAAGCAACAGCCACACATGAGGTGTCGCTGCCGAGTAACCACATCTACCTTGCTTCTTTCTGCGATGTTTCCTCTTTCAGGTCCTTGAGTTGCATATGCGAGGTGCAAGCAAGATTTTTTCAAAACAGAAGAAATACGCACTGCCTGCTGCAGAGTTTTCTTGAAAGAGACAGAGAGATGAAGCCAGTCGCTCCTTTGCGTACACGTTTTTTCTTTTCCTTTTTCGTCTAAAGAACTCCAAATCCTTTGAGCGCTTTGGTGTGTCTTCTGTGATGAAAGAACCCTCATAACTGACTCTCCATATTGTTTCGTCAGTTGCTCGTTGGTTGCCACATCCGCTTTGCTGCTTTGGACCTGCTGTCGGTGCTTCTCCCTCCTTATCCAGTGAAAAAGTGTTGCGCAAGAATTTCACTTTAATTTCACGATGTACACACGAGACGCGGGATCCTGGAATTCTTGTACTTGTTCTCTATGCTCACCTACAATTAACATTTATGGTTCGGAATTCAATATGTCGATTTCGTTCCCGATAGAGAACATGGTCTTGGTTGTGTAGTGCGTACCCTAGAACTTATGGAAAGTTCTTGTCCTCAACATGCAGCGCTCGCTGGTGTTCGTGTTGTTCTTCTTGTGACACAACTTTTGCGATGCGTACTTTCCTGATGGATGCGATTCCTTTCCTTGCGCATCTTTTCTCGTTCTTCATCAATTTCTGCCACCATGGCAGCGCGCTCTTTATGACCTTCCGAGCCGTCACACGCCCCAAGTACTGCCAAACTTTTTTTGTATATCCTGCAAAGGAAGCAAGGCGTGAAAGCGAATGTTGAGCATCGTGGCGCTGTGTCTCCCTGGACGAACTCTTGCTAAATTAATAGATGCAAGCGCAAGCGTTCCCCTGGGCAGCTGTTGCTGTACGTCTGTCATTCGCGGCTTTGGGTTTGCTCACAGTTTGCTCCCCTTGGAGGTCGTACTGGTACTGCGTATGCATGACAATGAATTACACGAGCGGAAAAGTGTAGCTTTTGAGTGATGTGAAAAACTGAGAAGGCCATACTCTTGCTCGACCTCTTCGCGAAGCTTCTTGCGCTCGTGCTCAACCTGCCTGAGCGCGTGCTCCCGGTCCATTCGCAGCTTCTTGCATTGCTCGTTCTCGCGCTTGAACCTGAAATTTACCAAATCATGCACCCAATAAGAGCTCTCAGCTTGTCGCAGCCATCATCTCCTGCCTCATCTTTAAGGAACTTTCATATTGATGTTCATAGCGAGATCGATAATTATGTACGGTTTGTCATTTCTTGTTACCGATCGATCTGCGCGTCCAGCATCTTCAGCTTACGCGCTAAGTCCTCCCGCGTTTGCGTGTCGGCCGCGGCGGAGGAGGCGTTGACTTCATTCTCGAACGCAGCGGCGGCCGCCAGCGCACTACCGGCAGCGCCGCCTTGCTTCTTCTCGACCACGTAGTTGACTACGTGGTCTTCGAAGCCGTGGTCTGCCCCCGGTGAGACAGAAGACGCGGAAACGCCCAGGGCAGCTCCAGAAAGGGTCGCGGCATTCGAGTATACTCCCGAGGTTGAAGAAGCAGATGTCGCCGCGCCCTTGCCACTCGGCTTTTGATGCGCCCCTGGGGGTTTGTTTTTGCTGTAGAAGTGCTTTTTCACAAATGAGGACACGGGCGGTTCGTCATCTTCGTCAAAATCGCCTCGAAGATCTTCCTCGGCATCGAACTCGCCGTCCTGCTCTTCCACCGAAGGAAGGTCACTCTGAGCCTGTTGGGTATTATGCTACTTTTAGATGATTGTCAATCAATTGCTCGCAGTGGCTTTATCTGCCGACATTGTAATTGCTCGCACTTGTCCATAATCTTAATTTTCTTGTCACTCATATTTATGAGAATTCGCACTTTCTATTCTGTGACGTCATGCCATGATCCGTTGTAAGTATAAGTACTATACAAAGGACAAGATGTCGTCCAAAAAAGAGCTGAACCGGATCCGGAAGTTCGGAAGCATGGGCCTCACGGTCGACGATTCGAATTGAGGAGTATTGGTTTCCCCCTTCGCTGGCCGACGACGACTCGCCTCCTAGCTCCGCCGAATCCAGCTTCAGGCCCCCGGGCTGCGGCTTCTTGTTGTTTCCGTACCGCTCGGCAAAAAACTTTTTGCTCGCTAGCGTTTTTGCGGTCTCTCGTGGGGCTGTCGGTTTGCATCATTGAAATTGCAGTCATCTTCTTCATGATCATGGCACTACTTACATCTCATCACTAGTGCCACGTCCTCAAACAACGAACCGATGCAATGCAAACAATTTGACTTCTTACCCGACAGTGTTGCATTTGCGTTCGAACCACTCGAGCGGTTCCTAGTTCCGACACTTCCAGTTGTGGAAGGACCTCCCCCACCAGCGTCGGCGTCTCGCGAAGTTGAAGCGGTTTCAAATAAATCGCGATCCGACGCGACGGCGTTGCTTCGACGACTGCTGTCTCGCGTGCCATCATTGGGCGCCGAGCGCACGGGCGTGACGTTCGCTGCGGGCGGACGCTGCTTGCCGGGCGTCTTTTCTTCGCGCTGGGTGGAGGCTTTTGACAAAAAATCCTTCTCGGTGCTCACAGGGTTTCGTGCGCCTCTCTTTAAAAACGGTCGCTTCACCACGTTTTTACCGCTGGTGGCGGTGCTGCTGCTCGGCCCGCTGGACGACTTCGTCGAGTCCGCGTTGGGTTTAGGGTTTAGGTTCGCCGTTGACGAGGAGCTACCTCCATAACCGCTGTTCGTGTTCGATGTGAACGGAATCGTGATTGCGGCCGGCGCCCGCGGCTGAATCGGCGTTTCCTCTATGGAATTGGCTGCCGGTGGTGGCCGAGCCGCCGCGGCGGCGGCGCTGGGCGAGGAAGCAGAAGAGGTGATGCGGTGACTCTGGATGGCTTCGAGCACGTTGTCGTTGGCCAGATGGTGGCCAGGGGCTGTATCCTGGCCCGGGTGGTGTCCGCCAGCGTGACCGTCACCGGTCATGTAATCCGGTAGCGCCGTGGAGCCATAATTTGCGTCGAGCGCGTCTCCTTGCTGCTGGTATGGATTTGAGGCCGGAAGCGGGTTCTCGTCGTATCGTGGCAGGGCAGCTGCGGCTCCACCCCCCGCATAGGGGTTATCGTTGTGGTCTAAATATGGGTTGTAGTCATCGTGATCAGCAGCCGCGGCGCCACCGGTCGCACCTGCGCGACCATAGAGGTCGTCCAGGAGGTCCATATCGTGAGTCCCGATGCCGATGCACGTAGAAGTCCGAATCTCTTTTCGGTCTTTCTTGCCAAAAATTCGGAGTCTTCTACCTACTTAGACCGCCCCTAGCCCTAGCTCTCGACGAGCGGTGGCGTGTGTGTGAGACCTAGCACGGCAAAGCAGAAGATTCGTTCTTGCTCCACGGTATTTTCACAGTTGCGGCAAGCAATCTCCCTCCCCCATCTGCAGGACCAGGACTACTCCAGTGACAATACTCCAGGCTACTTAGTATACAATACTGTATATACACATCTTCATGTTGTCCTTTGATTGTTGTGAGAGGGATTGTCAATAATATGGGGCATAACAGCAAGAAATTCAAAGACAGTCATTTCTTCTTCATCTGGCCATACAACTTTTTGACGCCATTTGGTGCTAACACACAAGCACAACGAACAAACTAGACGGCAAAACGAAGGGGAAATAGTAATAGATGATGACAAGACGAAAGCAGGAGAATCAGGAAATAAGAAGCCTTGGCTTGGCTTGGCTGCGAGGGTGGCGTTCCAGAACTTTAGGAGTGCAGCCGGAGCTATTCATGAGCTAAAACTTGACCACGCGTACTATATGCTAGTAGAGGCGGCTAACGATGACCTTGTCCGCCCCCCCTGATAGAAGAAGGTGGAATGCTCCTGACCTCGAATCGTTCTCTCGGAAGCTGTTATTTGTCGCCAACAACATACCCTAGGCTGAACGGCCAATGAATCTTTTGATGGTTGTACTTGGTCTAGCCACGTTTCGAACAGGAAGGGAGCCAGCGGCACATCATCCACCTGCAGCTGGTGGAACACTAATTACTAGCGATCATTTTCACAATCTTCGACATGTCAACCGAAAGACAAACGGTTTGGAAGCTAAAACTGCTGCACAAGCCGCAGCCCCGTGTACGCAATTCCAATTTCCCATATTCAACTTTTTTTTCAACTTTTGAGTTTCTTTTGGTTTTGCTTTCTCGTCTTTACTCTCGTTGTATTATCTTCTATAAATCGTCTTCAAAGACCTGGCCGATAACGAACCAAAAATGCGGCTGAAACAAGGTTCCTGTGGCAAACAGAGAAACAAAGGATCCAATGCTTGGCTCCTTGATATTGATCTTTGTCTTTAGTCAGACACTCAGTGGTGAGACAACTCAACGCATACGCATATCTTTATGTGCTTCAAAACTCAATAAAGCCCCAACAACAAACCGGCGAGCACTACGAGACAGCTCTAGTAGATGTGATGAGTATATCAAAAAAGCGGGATCGTACATTATAGTATACCTGAATAACACCTCTACTTGCGTGTTTGGTGCTTTCGGTGTGCATGCGCCATGCGGCACTTGGCGAAAGGAAAAGGTGACACGATTCAACAGGAGATGCAATCAACTACCATCTTGGCCGTCGCCTGCTTTTTGATTTTGTTTATGAAGGAAAACGATGAAAAGCTCCGATATCAAGATCTAAAATAAAGAAAAAAAACGGAAGAACAAAAGCCAGGGATATCAAAATCAAGTAGAAGTAGTCGTCCTTACATCTTCCGATCCGAGGTGCAACTACGAAGCATCAGAGACCTCCGAGCTTCAGTGATTTCCTCGTCATCCCGAAAGACAAAGCGCAACAGCAGAGGAACACCTTTTGCTGGCAATCCGGGAGGGCCTCCACCTCGTCCTGCCAAAAAGATACAATCTTTTGAGTGTGAAAGTGTCGCGTCGCGAGTGGGAAACGCCGCCAGACACCCGGGAACCGGACAAGCGTAATTATCTCCCTGTTCTTCGCCTACATCTTCTGCGCCGGAGGTCAACGAAGGTTCCAGAAGATGCTGCCGCCGAAGCACATTTGCAATCTTGCTGCAGGCCTGTGTACAAACAGGCGGCCAACGCCGCACACTTTGATGCTTTTCCCTGCTCTGTCTGCCGCGTTTTAAGATGGGATGAGATTGAGTAGGTGATGTAACAGCTGCACAAGATAATGACGCCGAGGTCCTCGTCTCGGAATTCTCCCGGGGGCGAATTTGAGTTTGATCCTGAGGTGCAGCAGCGCCACCCGTCCCGCGATGCACACTGGCAGTAGAACCAGGAGGAGTTATATGACCATCCTGCATTTTCACGGTAGTGTCGGCCACGCGGAGACGGTAGATTTCCTCGGGATTGCAGTGGCGGTCGGTGCAGCAGGTCTCCATGTGTTTTCGCACTTTTTCGTAGCTGGAAAAGCAGGCCGAGCATCCCGGCAGCATGCATCGCACATAGCTGCTGGGCTGGTGGTTCAACGCCTTTGCCAAAACAGTGTCAAAGTCGTGAGCGAGCTCATCCAGGTTTTCTCTCCGCAATCCGTTGCGATCGGTTTCTTCCTGTTGCTCCTTCTTTTTGTTTTCGTTTTCGATCATAGATTTTTGTAGCACTTTGGCAGCGCAAGCGCTATCATGTCCGTCCACGTCCAGTTGCGGGGTGGAATTCGAGTTGGCGACAGGACAATTTGATCGCTCGGCATTATACATCTCCAGCTGACCTTCTTTCCAGTACCTGTTCCCTCGGCGCAACTCGAAGGGAAAGCATTGCTGTAGAATCGCAACCGTGTTGTAACTCCCGCGCGTGCGCGTGCGGCGCGTTGTCGCGTCCGCAAACCGCGAGCGCAGGCTTTTCAGTTGTTTCTCGTAGGATTCCGATTCAGGTTGTTCTTGGACCTGTCCTTCTCCGCCGAGTGCGTTGCATGCAAATGCAGTGCAGTGTGGACGAGGACAATCTGCAGATGCGGTTTCGCGGCTTCCGCTTCCCTCGCCTGTTTCGCTTTCGCTGCCAAAGGCGCCGGCGGCCTTATAATTTTTGTTCCTGTTCGTCCGAGTGCGCCGTTTACGTCTACTCTTCTTGTTCAGTTGTTTCAAAAGTACGTGTATGGTCTCCGAACCGCAAGCGGGTGGCGTGTCGAGCCACCGCACTGTGCCAAAAAACGAGTCCAGCTCCGCGACAGAGGATGATGGTCGAAGACGACGTCGTGTTCTTGCAGAGCCGCGACCTCGTTCGATGTCTGCGGATTCAGATTCTGCTTCCACCTCACGGGCAAGGCCGTGGGGCCGGGCAGGAGGTACTCTCAACTCGGTCTCTAGACGCAAGCGAGCTTGGTGGCGCTGCTCCGCTCGTTGACGCTGGAACGCCTTCGACCAAGGCTTCTGGCGATTTAGGTGAAGCAATCGCTTCGGCTGTGGGGAAGTGAGCGCGTTCCTTCTTGCTCCATTTTCTTCTGGTGAACTTCTGAATTCACCGGATTCTGAACTGAGACCGCCGGCACTTGATTCCGAGTCGGAAGAGAAAACATCCTCTGACGTTGTCGTTGCGCTTTCGCTTGTAGAGTCCTCGTCTCGCCTCCCATCGAAGTGAAAAAAAGCGTCGCTCTCGTTGAGGTCAATGTTGGCGAGGACTTGTCGCCTTCGATTATCTCCGCTACCTGCTCTTCTTGTAGTTGTTTTGCACGAGGATTCGTTCGCTGATGTTGGCATCCCTCTCCTGCCGACCGAACAAGTTGGCTCGTCGAGGGCAAAGATGGGGCCTGCGACGAAAGTTTCCATCGGGGTCTGCGCGCCGCTCCGGTCGCGCTCGCGATTCACCAGCAGACAGGCCTCCTGCGCGAGAAACGGCGACGAACACGGAGCCGCGATAAAGCTGCCGAGTTCCAACTTGCGAAGGACCTCCGCGAGCAGCTCCACATCGGCCCTTTCCTCGTCCACCTCGGTGCTCATCCCTTCGTCTGCGCGCCCAGCATCTGCAGGCAAATGCTCGCTTCCATCGACTCTGTCGCGGGATCGGGCGAAATGCGAATGCGGCCTAGTATCGTCGGCCTGGTCATCTACTGCGTCGGAGCGCTGTACTCCTCCTCCACCTCCTGCATCGCCTCGGCCATGTACTTCTAGAGAAAGCATAGCTACACTACTCGAACCGCTTCCACCGTCAAGCGCTCTGCAGCAGGCCTGTGTGAGAAGGCCGCCGATTCGCACCATCAGTCTCACGAAGTGCTCTGTTGACATTTCACGGAAAGCCAGAATCCACGAAAGCAGGGGATTGCTCGAGGTCGAGTCTCGCAGGGCAAATAAAAAATGACTTCCTGACCCGTGGACGCCATCAACATCACTAATCGCTCGCGAGGACGGGCCACCAGCAACAGCATCTTCCACTTCTGCTTCGATGGTTTCGGTTGCGAAAGTCCCATCCTCGTCCTGAAACTCTCCTCCCTCGTCGAGGACGTCCCGCACGTCGACACGTAAAAATGGCGACGTGACATCTTCCGCGTCGGTAGGCCACAAACGCTCCAGGCTCCCATCAGAAAGCGTTTTTTCCAAAATGGGAATCCATTCATCTTCATCCACAGAAGAACGCCCACACGGCGCCATTTTCAAAATTGCAGACTCGGACAGAAATTCGACACACCACGCGCGAAGAACCTCTTTTTCGCTTGCAGTACTTTTTGCACCCGCCGCGTAGATGAAGTTTTCATCTCCCTGCCCAGAATCCAGAGAACTACCTGCAGCACGTCGTCTAGAGTCATGGGCGGCACTGACACTGCCGTCTAGAATATGGACGGCAGTTGGTGGATCACTCGAGCCACTGCTTGCTCCTGCCACCCACACCGGCCTTCGACTGAAAATACGTCGCAGGGATGATGATTTCTCTGGCATGTCGTGCGACTTCTGCAACGGCCGGAAGTCGTACGAGGAGTTTTTGGATTTCTCATGTTCATCATGTTCTTTATCTTTGTTGGCGCGGCGCACACTAACTGCATGGAAGGGAGAGCTGCATGGGCCACCAGGATTCACGTCGCTCCGATGCTGCTTTTGATGCCCGAGCGCTTCTGCAGCATCCCACTCAAGTGCATGTGCATCTACGGCCCCTACTGTTTGTCTTTTTGTCCCTTTCCTCTTTCTCTTGCAAGGTGGAGGACCACCATAATTTGCATTTGACTCTCCCGACCTCCGCAAAGCCCGGCGATGTGGTTGCAGCCGAGAAGGTGAAGGCGTAAGAGGTACGTTTCGAAGATTTCCAGAAACAGGAACATGTTCAAGCGCGAGGAGTTCTTTCTTCAACAACTTCGAACAACAGGAATCTGTTATCGAAAGGAAAAACTCCCCCTCCCCATATGGAAAAGGTATGCTTCCGAAAATTTGCGTTGCTGATTTCAGGTCACAAATCACAGACATGTGCCTTGCCAGAAGACAAGGGCAGAAGCTTCCATCCTAGCATGGTGGCGATTTGTCATGCTGTCGGGCCTGAAGGGGAGCCGTTTGCAATGCTGAACAACTAGACCCAAACGCCCCTACCTAGCATGGGGATCTGGCCGCAGTGCCTTCCTGCAATACAAAGCTGATTTGTGTACACAAATCCAGCATCAGAAATTCCGTTTTGATATGGGGAGGGGGGATTTTTCTTTTCGATATCTGTAAAGAACCTCTGTCGTGCTTCCTCCCTCGTGCCGCAGAGGGTAAGCGAAGAGAAGCGATCGCCTTCTACATCTAGCTCTGTGCTCCGGTCTTCAGTATTCCTGCTCGGTCGTTCTCTGTTGATGTTGTGCGGACTGCGTGGGACACCAGCTGCGTTGCTGGTACTACGGGCACTAGCGGGAAAACCGCGGCCACTTTCTGCTGCTCCATCGTCCGCAGTCCTACCTGGTGGACAGGAATCGTCCAGTACCTGTCGGGCCACACGATAGCGCTGGTGGTTGGTGTCTTTCCCGACACAGCACCCAGTCTCCTCGTGCTGTCGCAACAGGTTTCGTCTATGCGCGTTCAGGTGTGCCAGTAGCACTGCGACAGATTGGGGTGTCATCGTTTCGTTTTTGTTTTTAATATTTCGGCGAAATGATTTTTCTTCCTCGCTCTCGGTCGCAATGAACAGGTCGACGAAGAAGCCACAGGACGTGTCTGCGAAGCGCCCACTTCGATCGTGATACCGACAGTAGCGACGGAAAGTCGTTAGAGCCGGTGCTGCGCTCCTACCGCTGCGACTACTAGAAGAGGACGCCACAACGTTTCCGCTTCCTCCTGCTCCTTTGGCCGTTCCGCTTTCCCCTTCTTGCAAGAACCCCAAACCAGATGAAGCGGTGCCGTTTATTGTGTTGCCCCGGTTTGCAGCTGAGTGCTGTGCTCCTGCCTGTGGTGCCAACAAGTCAGTACCAACACTCAGCATCGACGTGGACGCTCCTGCCTCGTGGCCGTGAGAGCTTTCATCTCGATCTCGATCTCGTGCGTCTAGAGCTTCACCCTGCTCTCGTGTCAGCTGATCTTCCACGAACTGCTGTCGGAAAGGCGACCGCGAGGAAAACGCAACACCTCTTTCGCGACGCAACAGCGATTTCCAGCAACTGCAAGGAATACTCGGCAGCATGCGGCACAGAGTAGCACGTACAAGTTGGACTTGATCAAGATGATCCGTATTACTTTCGAAACGATGTTTATGCACCAACTCTTCAAGTAGACGACCTCCTGCTTCCGCACCAAAGAACGCATCCTTTGTTGGAAGGAGCTGGTCGCACACCTTTTTGTCCATCCGGGAAAAAGCACGACAGACGGACGGGAGCTGCGCTCGAGTCCGGCGATTGCAATCGTCAGCGTCCAAATCTGCGCGGCAGCCGAGTGCTTCGCTGAACAATCCAGCGACCGTCAAAGTTTGTAGCAGGGGACTGGCCTCCTCCTGTAGCAGGCTCGAAGCGACGGAAGTGGACGACCGCGATGCAACGCGTTTTGCAGTTGCCGAGGACGCACGTTCTTGCCTGACTTCGGATTCGCCGGTCGAGATGACATTGGACGCTGCGTTGGTGCTGTCCACTGCACGAACCGTGTTGGTATTGATGAAAAGCGCCGCGGCCTATACCTCGACAAATCTTGTTCGACTTCCCCCTGTTCTTCTTCATCTGCCACGACCCAGCGCGTGCATCTTTACAAATCAAACGACCAGCTACGTACAGAGGTCTTCGTGTTTCCGTTGCCAAAGGACGTAACAAGTGGTTGCGTACTATGTATTTGATGTAAACAGAAGGACGGAGCAGCACCGGACATGCATAAGAATGAGTCCAATGGGTGTCGCACTCGCAGCCACTCATGATATAATTTTTTTTATTTCATGTGAATAGCGCTACTTTTGCAGAAGGAAAAGCATTCCTTCAAATTTCTTCTACCCAGAATTATGGTGCGGGACAGATGAAGAAGTGAAAGGGGAGTCTCAGGGTTCTCGCGCACGGGGATACCTCCACTCCGGGAAAACCAAAAGACCACGTTGCTATCGGCCTCCACGTCAAAAGGACGGCAAAAGCAAGCATGTTTACCGGATAGTAGGCTCCCGACATTATCCCTTTCCCACCCCCTCCTCGCAACTAGTAATATACCACAAGGACGAATTCTGATAGCTACGTACTGGCTTCATCTACACTGAAAAATATTTTGCTCTGGGGTAGGCGCAGAAAATGATTCATCAAACTTGTGGAAATCTTCAAGAAACGAAAGCTGCTGTGTAAAGCGCCTTTCAACTAGTGTGATCGTGATGTGTGCGAGTTGCGTGAGGAGTTGACTATGTGCTGTTAGTGACTACAAAATAGTTAAAAAGGCAAAAATGAGTAAACAACCGTAGGAGTCAGATCAACAAGTCCGAGCGAGATTTGGCACGCCATAGTCCTGCTACCTGCAGATTACGATCTCCATCCATCTTTCTTGGTTCGTTCGTAGTCCCAGTACGTCAGACGTCAAGATAAACTCACTTTATCGAGTGAATTTATTTCGAGCAGAGTGACCCCAATATCATTCCGGATCGCAAGTGCATGGTGTCCCTGCTGGGACGCCTGCTTGCTTTGATTCCGCTTCGGAGCGTCGTCCATGAGATATCAAAAAGCGAAGATAGAACATAACAAAGCTTGGACTGCTGCACGTCTCACATGATCAATGACTCATATTCCTGAGCAGCCTACAGCCCCCAACACTGGCAGCACGACTCTGTGCTACCGCCTGTTTCTTTTCCCTCGCCTTTGCTGATTCTTGTGTTCAAGCCGTGTTGGCCAGCCAATCGAGTTAGTGCCTGAAGAAACGGAAGGCCTCGGATGGACAAGAACCACCAACAGAAAGTTCTGGTTTTTCGAGATACGTTGCTATCCTTGTCATCAACTTGACAGAAGAACGAAAAAGGAAAAGATACGTTCTGCAGAATCAAAAAGCAACACCAACTACACACGACCGGGTTTATAAATAGTGACTAGCAGGTCAACTGGTTTTACTTGAACTCGAATCGGAATCACCTCACTTCATCTACGATTCACTTGCTCGCATACTTTCTTACGATGAGAATTACGAAAGAACTACAACTGCGAGTTAAAGACGAGAGAAATTATCCAAGGTAGGTAAGACAGCTGGTTACTTCATCGGTAATCCATGCACAGAACAGATACTTTTCCGTTTTTGCAAGCCGAACCTTTCGTCGCCCGCGCGGAGCGGGAAAGCTAAGTATCTGCGGCAACTGGATCGTGCGTCACTTGATTTTTTGCACGTCGTGGTAGTTACTCTTCTTGTCGACAGCATACATAGCGGATTCATTTTCTGAAATACGAGGTCTTTTGTCGTTTGCTGAGATCATAGGGATAGAGGCAGAAAAGTGCGAAGATGTATACATAACTGTAAGTTCAAGTCGTAGATGAGGAAGCGCTAATATTTCACTTTTCTTCCGTTGGTTTTCGATTTCGATTTGTCATGGTTAAAAGCTTTATCTTTTGTTTTTGAGAAGAACTACCTAGAACTTTGATTGAGTTTTTACTTCATCACTCACATATTTTTTCATCCTGTTTTTCGTCGGGGGTCGGGCACTCACGATGTACCAGGGTCGAGCGCAAAAGATTTCGCAAAAAAGAAGTGGACGCCAACATTCATTCGTCTGGGTTATTCATCAGAAGTAGCACACTCTACCAAAAATGACAAGTCGTAGCTCCACCGTGCGGCTCGGCCTTGAGCTAGCCGCTGCATCTCGCTTGTGCGGGCCTCCACATCGTTGTCGTTCCACGAAGGAGCATGACCAAAAATCAGCTTCGTTTGACACTCATGCTGATGGCCAGCTGAAACAATGCCCGCTGGTCGAGGACCCGCTTTGGTTCGGAGTTGTGTAGCGCACGGTGTTGACTTTGTCCATCAAACTCTTTACTCCCGATGCCCGTCTGGAGCACAAATTTGTCCCTGTAGGTAGTTCGTTGTAAGATTGTAGATGACATTGAAGAGCCATAGTCAATGATGAAGTGGTGGATCATGACAGGCAGCTGCACCAATCTGGAAGATGAAACATCAAAATATCATCACGGTGGACGAAATAGCACTGCCGGTAAACTCAAAAATTTCATCTAGTGCCTGCCGGTAACTCAAAAATAATCTGAATCTGTTGCTTTTTTCTATATGCATTTTAAGGAAACAAAGAGAAAGAGAAACAAAATGAGTCGTACGGAGGCCAGTCGTCGTCGTGGAAGCGCACCTCCGTTTTTGTAGAAAAACGGATCCCCCTACCATGCCCTGCACCGCTGCCGCTGCTCTTCCCACCCACCCTGTTGTGAACGGTCGGCGCTGCAAGATTTCCAGAGCCTCCACCTGCCACGTTGCTGGTTCCTGCTGCAAGACCAAGCGCAGGCCCTGCACCAGTGGTGCGCAGGCTGTTGAGACGCGCGTTTTCGAGCGCCTTCCAGAGAACCGTGTCCAGCTCGGCGCGGGTGGGAATCGTCGGCAAACGCATGCAGACCTTGCGGCGTTTCCTCGGGTGCTGTGGCGGAAGAAACCGTTGCTGCTTTGCAGCGTCTGGGGCTCCGTAGTGACTCGCGGGGCGCACGCCGGGTTTGCTGCTGGTCGTGACTGTGGCCGTCGATGGCAGCGGCGAAAATCCAAGTGCAGCGGGTCCTCGTTTTTCAGCGACACAACCATTTCCACTGCTGGTGCAACCTTTTATCGATGACATTGTCCCAGGTGGCGCAGGTGATTGCCCAGAGACACTGGCTACACCACGTGAACTTCCGTGCCCGACACGCGCCCCCGGAGTTCCAACCGGCGCAAGTGGCTTCGGGCCGCTTGCAGACAGCACTGGCGAAAGCGAAACTGCAGTGCGGGCCGCGCCTGCGTCAATCACGGCGGAGGGCACGCCTTGCTGCACACAACGAGTCCCATCGGTAGGTACAGCGCTTGAAGCTGCTGGGGCGGCCGACGGTGTGGTAGGTAGCGTGCCAACTCCGACAGCCGAAATGCTCTCGATTATCGGCGCAGGTGGTGGTCGCGAGGCAGTAGACGCCTTTGGAATGGAAGACGAGGAGCCCGACATTGCCGGGGGCGTCGAAACCGGATGGCTTGCGGAAGCCGCTCCGGGCGCCAGAGCGCACGCTGGTGGTCCTGACTTGCCTGTATGCGTCGGTCGGGCATGGCTAGCAGATGATGAAGAAGCAATAGAGGTGGTCTTGGTCGTAGTAGAAGCTCCCGCGGTCTTGTTAATCAACATGCGCTGCGCCCAGGTAAGCGGCGCTGGCGGTGGTTCTTGCTTGCCAATACCAATGGCTGGCTCCGTGGTGTTAGTTCCCGAATGGTGCGCCGGCGTTGTTGACGACCACGCCGCCCCAGCACCTCCCGTGGATTTCGTAGCGGCTGCAGCTGCTTCACCGGGTCCAGCTGAAGCACTTGAGGTTGAGGACGATGAGGATAACGAGGTGGCTGCTGGCCCTCCCACTCCTTTGCCTCCCGAAGAACGGGCCGAGCGCGAGGTAGTGCCAGAAGACGATGTGCCTGAACCTGTAAACCTCAACTGGTTCGCATTCGTCGTCTGTTCGTCCGCATTGCTCGATGGTATGGTTTTGCTCGACGAGTTCGAGTCGTCCGGCCCCGCTGCAATCAAAGAGTCGTCCGTTTCTGCGGTGCTGCAGTCTGATTGCGTGCGCTCCTTTCGCAAGTGCAAGCGCCCCCACGGAAGCAGCTTTCCGCGACTTCCCGAAGGGCGGGCTCCGGTCGTTCCTCCTTCGGAGATGGAGGCCGTGCTGTCTACCGAACTTGCGCGGGAACTCGCACGCGTCACACTTCGGGGGCTGGTGTTGCCGGAGCTCGGGTTGCTGCTGGTGCTGCTCAATGTGGTCGCTGAGGCGTTCAATGCGGGGGCACCAGTGGCATTGAGAGAAGTTGCGCTCGCTCCTGCCCGTCCGCGGGACGAAGTGTTGAGTGTGGTCGGTTGCGAGAGTGGAGGAGGAGGTGTCGAACACGCGGCGGAGAGTTGTGTTGAGCTACTGTTGCTAGTGGAGCGGGTCGCAGAATTAGTTCCAGCTGCTGTAGTGACCCCTGCAGTTCCTGACTGTGCCTTGTTTCCCCATAGAAGCTTATTTGCTGGCGTGGTATGTGGGCCATTATCATTGGTATGGTTCCCGCAAGCAGGCAGTGCGTCAGTGCTGGAGCTGTATGCCGATGCGCCCCTTGTTGATGTTGCACCTGTCGAACCATTTTTTCCGCATCCAGTACTAGGTGCAGCTTGACGTTGTACCGGATGTACCGGGGCACTCCGGGAGGAAGACGAAGCAGCAGGAGGAGCACTAGCACATGCGAGGACACCGGAGAAATTCTTACCTGTGCCCCCAAGTTGTACCGCTGTGGTCGCAGGGTCAAGGGACGCCGAACAAGGAGCGGCGCCTGTCCCGACGTGATGCGGATTTTTTAGAATTCCGCGGCCGATTTCGCCCAAGCCCAGGCCCATGTTGAGGACGACGTCCACTGTGGCGCTGTTTTTGCGGCTTGACGTCGCGCTACTAGGCAGCCCAGCTGGACCAACGGAGGGGCGGGGAGAGCACTGCTTTGACATTGCCCCTTGCTGATGCGCGGATGGACCCAGAATGGGCGTGGCGGTGCCCGCCGTGCTGGAGGAGGAGGCCCGGTGCCGGTTTGCAGCCGTCGATGCGGACGACGTGCGACCCGCCTGGGGTAGGAGTTGCAAAAAGGTGTTCGCCGCAGCCGCATTTGCGTTGGGCGACGTCAAGCTGATCCGCATTTTCTCCTTGGGACCGGAGGAAGCAGGGCCTGCAGACGAGTTATTCGATCCTCTGCTCGACGTCGCAGACGTGCCTGTAGAGGCTGGTGCGCCACTTGTTGTAGTAGTTCCACCGGCAGCATTCGTTCTACTGTGGTGCTGCGTTTTCACGTCTTTGTCCTTTGCACTGGCTAGAGACGGAAACTCTTCGTCGTCGCTGCTGTACGCCGTGATGTCGCTGGTGAAGGAAGACACGCGAAAGCCGCGAGGCGGAGCCAGTGGTGACTTCGCATTCCCAGAATGGGGCCCTGGAGGTCCGGTCAGGCTTCCGGCCGCTCCTGCCGGTTCCTGTGCAAAACCGCTGTGTCGCGGAGACGTGGAACACGAGGAGGAGAAGGTAAGTGCTGGGCTGGCGTTCAGCTCCTGGAACAGGTTCGGCTGCAGACCCCACACTTGTGGCGACGTCTTCGCGTCCGGGTTCGGCGACCCGGGTTGCGTGCCCGGCAGCGAGGGCACGCGCAGGTCCAGGGTCCACGCGGCCCGCTCCATCCAGTCCGGAAGCCGCAGCCGATGCATCGGGTAGGAGTCGTCCTCGGAGCAATCGCTCATGTCCGTCTCTGAATCTACCTCGGACTCCTCGTCTTCTTCTGGTTCAGCTTCAGGAAATTTCTCTAGTTGCTCCGAAGCAATCTGGCCGTCATCTGGACTGCTCGTTGCAGCTGGTGGTTGTTGCGAAGCTGCCGTAGTAGAAGCAGTAGGAGCAGCTCCCGGAACATGGCTCATCGTTGTTGATGTAGGTGAAGATGCGGTAGATTCCTGCACCTGGCCATTTGCTGTATTTGATGCTGCCGATGTTGTTGATGTAGTTGTCCCTGCAACTCCTGTAGGTGTTGGGCTTCTACTACCTGCTTGACGACCCATGCTCAATAGCGAGCCATCTGCTTCATGACCAACATGCGACGAAGCTGGTTCTCGTCCGCGCTTTGTGGGCAGGTCATCAAATAGTCGTAGGGACTGGTCCATTTTTTCCAGCTGTTGCTGCGCCACGGCGAGCACGGTTGCGTCTGGGGAAAGTTGTCGGTCTTGCGCGCTTTTTGAAATTGCTCCCGTCTCGGGGGCCTCGCTTTGGTTTTTCACTTTGGCTTTCCCCCGAGACAGCGCGGTCGTTCGTTTGGGTGCGTCAAGAACGGCTGCATCTTGTTCCCGAACAGTAGGAGTAGAAGTGGCACTTTTCTTCTTCTTCCCAGCTTCACTTTGACGTACGTCCGCCGCCGCGTTCGAAACAGCACTTGAATCCGTGTAGTCAACAACGGCCAGACTTCCAGTGACAATAGGTGAGGCTTCCGGTTGCTCTTCCACGATGGCGCTCGCGTTGCTCCGTACGCTGCTCGTCTTCGAAGCTAGACTTTCTTCCGTTTCAAAGAACAACGTGATCTCTTCGTTGTTCGCTGTCATTTCGTCGTGCTCACGTTTTTGAGCCTCTAGTGCTCGATCCGCCTGCTCGTTGCCGGGCTGCAGGGAGCTAAGAACCAGACGCTCCGCTAGGAGGCCCCCCATGACACTCTTCGTCTTCCCGGGTAGTTTCGGCCCAGCCTCCTGTCGCGACGGGGTTCTTGCGTAGTCTTGCTTCGGCTGTAGGCTGCCTTCTTTTACGCCTTCTTCAGCTTCATCAAGCTGAGCTCCTTCCCGTACCAGATCGCAAACTACAGGCTGAGCTAAATTTCCTATGATCTCTACCTCTGCCTCGATGTCTGACCCCGCTCTCGCAGCACGTGCTTCTGCAATGGTAGTGGCAGATTGGAGCGCATCGACCCGCTGCAGCTCTGGCACTTCTCTACAAAGCGCCCTAGTACCGTCGTCGTTGTCCTTCCTGGTTTGAGGAAGGTTTTGCTCTTGGTCGTCCTCCTCGTCATCTGCCTTGCCTGCGACCTCGGAGCATTGGAGTACTTCCTCGGGTCCTTCTCCTTGCGCCGCTGGTGCTGCGGTTGTTTGCTCCTCGGTAGCTTCAAGTCCTCGATTACCAGTGCCTTTTTCATCTTCTTGTTCGTCGCTCATCCAGTTATTTCGGGGCCAGCTGGTTGTCCTCTCCGTTCCCGGTCTTTCGTGGCCAGGCACTGTCTCGTGTTTCCGATCGTGTTCGTCCAAGTCACGCCCCCAGGACCGCCAGTAGATTTCGTCTTGCTCCACCAGCTTCTGCAACGCGGTCTGCAGCTTAAACGGGTCCATTGGTCCTTTCTCGTCGTGTTGGTGCTGGTCTAAGCTGGCGTGAAGCTGCGCCAGCTGCTGCGCGTTGTTTTCGTGGGCCAAAGTCGGGCACAGCGATGTCGATGCTGTGCGGCGTCCGGTGGCTGGAACAGGAGCTCCGGCCCGGGAAGCCAGCAGTGATTGTTGCTGCAGCGTGGTGGTGCCGGAGCTGCCGGTGCGAGACAGCGATCCCGAGGTTCGACCACTGCTAGGCTGCAAAGTAGTAAGAGCACACTGTGGCACCATGATGAGATTCCCGGTGTTGCTGGAAGACATCAAGCTGGTGGTCGCAGCTCCGCCAACGATCGCACTTGTCCAGTCCCCCGACTCTCGGCGCGAGGTTGGCCGCGCCCGCGTTTCCAGCTCGAACAAAGCCGGGCTGGGCGCGCAAACGGTTTTGGCCATCGGCAGGATGCGCTTGATCAGCTGACGCTCCGTTTCCTGCCGCAGCCTTGCCGACTCGCAGATCCGGCGAACCTCATCGGCCAGCTTGAAGCCGTCGATGCTTTCGCCCGCCTCCTTCTTGGCCTTGATGCTTTTTAGAAATCCCTCGCATTGCTTCTCGGCCAAATTCGCGCGGAGCGTGTCCTTCTGCTGCGGCCCCATCATGTTTTGCTTCGGTTTCTTCTTCGTGCGCCCCCGCTTCGGCCCGTATGCGGCACGATTTTTCGCTGCCACGGCGGCAAACGACGGCGGCGCCGGTTCGGCGGCCGCGGGACCTCCCAACGAATCAGCTGCGATCTCACATCCTTCTCCGTTACTGGTGGTTCCTCTGCCGCTGGGACTGCTGGGCGGGCGCGGCAGCGGGCCGTCGTTGTTGTTTATCATCTCGCGGTCATCGTCATTTTCATCTAGAACGTTCACCACCGGATCGGTCAGCTGAGGTGGCGGTTGTTCGTGGAGCTCTACTTGTTCAGCCTGTTGATGAACAATGTTCAACATCTTTGCTCCAGCTCCTGCATCCGTATTTGAGGTGGACACGAGCTCGAAATCTGGAATGATCTCACGGAGCAGTGATGGGCGGGTCGCGTGCTGGCCGAACTCTAGTATCGGCGCGCCATTCGCGTGCAGTGGCGCGGGCCGCCAGATCGTCCTTCCGCCCTCGCCGATCTCATACCAGTAGTGCGGAAGCTCCTCGAGAAAAGAGTCGGACGGCAGGGTGCCGGTCCTCGCCTTTGCTGGGGCAACACGTCGACTCGCGCTGTCTACATTCGCAGTAGTTCTTGTTTCCCGCTCTATTTGCGACGGTGCAGGAGGTGGCTGTTGCGCTTCAACTGGATCCGACTCCGGGTCTGCCTCCCGTTCGACTTCATCTTCCTCCTCTTCGTCGCTGGAACTGCAGAATTGCAGGTGCTGCAGAATGGAGCAGCTTGTCGCTCCGTCGGAATTAACGATGATAGTCGGCTTCTTGATGTTGGAAGGACAAGCAGCAGCAGAAGTTGCGGTGCCACTTCCCGTGGTAGCACCACCGGAGGACGGCACTGGAACCCTTCTACCCGCACGGCGAATATTGTCCTTGGAGTCATGACCGTACTTCTTCGGGGAAAAAGGTGCGCGCTTGTTTGGCTGCCATTCTTGAGTGTGCGATGTGCTGTTATTTGTGCTTGGGCTGGAATACGTTTCCACAGCAAGATTTCCATTCGTCGGCAATGCACCGGCTAGCACAGTAGCGCATCTCGACGGGGGCGGATCTTTGGGATGGTGAGCGGTCGTGCTGTCGCTACTGCAACTCGAAGAAGAGGTGGACGCGGTAGTCAACCCGGATAGAGTTCGCGTCGGGGCAGAGTCGTCATGTCCGGGTCTTGTTTGGGGCGAAAAGGTGGGGGTGGTCTGCTGTATCAATGGAGCGACGGCGATGGGTCCGAATTGAGGACTACCTGCTCGACTCGGGGCGGCGGAGACTGTCCGCGAGTGCGGCTGACTATTGCAGAAAGGTTTTCTGGCACCAGTACCAGAAGTCGTGGCTGTAGAGGCTGCAACGCTGCTTGTCAAGAAAGCTTCTGACGTTGCCGCAACTTGCTTTTTGTTCGGGTTACCGTTTTCCTGCTTCTCCGTGTTAACCATCTGGGACCTGGACCGACTCGCAGAACCTGATGAACCAGAACAAGCCTCTACAGTCGCTTTCTCTGGTCGGCAGAATCCTGCCGGTGTTGAGGTCTTGCACGACGTAGCCGGCCCAGCACCACCTGTTTTCTGTACAGCCGCAGACCTGCTCGGTAAGGACGGAAGCGGCTCCACTTCCGTCGTCGAAGTCACTGCGGATGTTGACGTCCTCGCGCCGCAAGAAGCAAAACCAGTTTTGTCACTCCTCGTCTTAGGAGCTGCGCAAGGCCTGCTTTCATCTCCATCCGAAGACTGCGGGATCTCGTGGGGTTGCTCCTCAGGAATTTGGTCGGCCCGCACACCAAACCTCTCACGCTGTCGCTTTTCCTGCCGTTCGCGGAGCAGCGCAGCAGTACGGCCGTGACGCCGCAGCTGGTTCGCGTACGCTCGGTTAAAAACGGGGTCTTCCTGCGCCTCCGCCTCCTCGGCGGTGATTGTTCCGGCCGTGCGCTTGCGGCGGAGGCTGGCCTGTTGGGCGATCTTTCTCCGTAGCGCTTGACGCATCGTCTCTCCGAGTGAGGCGTTCAGCGTTCGCGGTGCTGCCATCGCCTCCTCATAAGCAGACGGCGGTCTATTTTTCCCGATTGTCGACGGAGCAGGTGCTGTACGGGGTGCAGTCACTTCCCTGTCTCCGGTGGGCGTTCGAGGGGGCATCTGCACGGGTCGCCGCTCCGGGGAATTCAGTGGCGTGCCGGAGCAAGACAGCTCCTCACTGACGTCGTCGTCGCGGGGGGCCAGAGGGTAAGGTGCTGCTACAGCTGCTCGAGCTGCCGAGTAATGACCACAAGGTTCTTGTTCCAAAGGTTGACTTTCCTCCGTCAGCTGTGCTTCTGCGTGCTTTAGTCTCGCTTGTTCTGCTTCTCGTCTTCGCAGCGCCGACTGGCGCTCCTTCTCTTCGTCCTCGGCTAGCATCGCGTACATGCGGCGATCCAGTTCGTCAGTTCGGGCCGTGCGTGGACAATAGGGGAGCTGCGGTGGCTTATTTAAGTCATACTTCGGCAGAAACGGCAGCCGCCGATGCACCTCCGCAACCGGGTCTAGCAACGGTTCGGATAGGTCAGGCTTCGGGAATGACCATGAATATTTCGGGCGCCGGACACTTGTTGGCTGCGCGGTCACTGATTCATCGGTGGATGTTGGCGCGGCCCCAGGCGAAGAAGCAGGCGGGCTGCCCGTAGATACTGCAGTCGGAGAGAAAGCATTCAAATCAGATCGAGCGACACTTTTCGTGTCTGTCCTTGCTCCATTTCCTGCTGTTAATTTGGATTGCGTAGGTGTGGATGCGGAAGCGAGTTGAGAATCCTTGCAGGGCGTTCGTTCATCGACCCACCTCCTGCCTTCTCCTTCGACGTCGTCTTTTCTAAATTCCGGTTCGAACGTGTCTTCCGATGAAGCAGGTTGTGAACCAGCTGCACTACATATAGATTGAGTATCCCTTCTATCATCATTATTTTGGCAGATGCTGACCAGACTGTCAGCAGGCCCAGCATTTTGATGTCCCCCGGTGAAATTTGCAGCCCCTTCGCGTCTTGCTGCGTTACATAGTCCACCTGCGATCGCCGCAATGTTGTCTCGCCGAGGGCCTAGTACTGCCGTTGACGTCGTCGAGGTACTTCCGACCACAGGGTCCTTGTCGGTTGCGGCCGCATTCATGGGCTCCTCTTCATTTCTTTTCATTTTGCTCGTGCTCGGCAACGATGTTGAAATTGAAAACTTAAACTCGTCAACAAGCTCATGATCTGTTGATGTCTGCAAAGCAGTACGTAGGTGCGGCTTCGCCTGAACGGATGAGGGAGCGCTTGTAGCCGCAGTGTCCTCGAAACTCGGTCTTGGGCTCTGCGAAAATTGCGTCTCTGTAGGCGACGCAGACGGGGCGAAGGATGTGGCTGGGGAAGCGGCCAGATGAACTGCAGTGGCGGTTCGCCGACTTTCACGCGTTTTTGCGCCGACTGCCTGGAAAAACGTCGAGTGCCCGACGATCCCTGAAAAATGCGGCGCCGTAGCATGGCCGGGCCCGGCATGACCAGCGCGAACGGCTTCGCGCTTCAATGCATTGGCTTCAAGCGCTCCCGCCGGTGTAGAAATGCTCGTTGCCACGTGGCCGCCATCTTCAGACAATATCGATCCTATTGATGCAGATGTTGCTGCTTGGTTATGCAGAGCGCTGGCAACATAGTTCGTCGCGTTTCTGGCCAAGTTGTTGTTTTCGGTGTAATTCATCCCAGTCGGTGCTGCTGCAGTCGTACTTGTCCAGAACGAGCCAGCTGCGCTGGAGGCAGCGCGACCGGCCAGGAGCGCCGTGAAATTGTTGATGCTATTCCTACTTCCATCTTCGCTGTTAACGCAGCACGGGCTGCAGGGTGGCGCCTTGCTCTTGTTTTTCCAAGCAGGGGTAACGCCGGTACTGTGGCAGTCTCCGTACTCTGTCTCGTCGACAGAGTCCTGCGACCGCTCCCTTGTGGGTGGGCTGCGCCCATTCGAGTCGGGAGATAGGAGGTAGAGACCCGCTGCGGCCGTACTTCCGAACAGCTGATCAGGTGGTCTTGGGGGTCGTGTCGAAATATTGGTGCTGTTGCTGGAACTCGGACGACGGTTGAAATCATGAGAAAAATCATCTTCACCGCGGATGATATTGCTCGCGTGACCTTCCTGGATGCCGTTCCATGAACTGCTTGTCCCCGGCTGGCCAAGAAAATCCCGACAACGCTGCGGGGTAGAAGATGAGAGAGGCAAATGGACGAGGGTTCCCGGCGTTGGTGCGGCGTTGCTTCTATTTCCAAAAGGGTCGCGGAAAAATGAAGAGCTGGAGGAAATTGGGATGCTGGTCGTGGGGTCAGTAAATACTTGTGTCGCGGTTGCGCCTGCGGCGCTGGCAGTCGTTGTGGCTCCGGCAGTTGCCGCAGCAACACCTTCATCACTGTCGTCGCTCCGGTCTGCCGTGCCTGTCAATTTCAGAGTAAATTTCAACACACATGATGCTGGGAAGACGAAGCTGTAGCTGGCCCCTGCTTATTCATATTCAGATTTGTTTTCGTCAACGTCAAATACAGACTTGAAGTCAACAGAAGAGCACATTGCATCCATCGTTTCTGAAACTATTTGAAGGAAAAAAATCAGTCGGTACGTTCTGCGGCCTGCCGTTTCCCGGCTTTTACCAGGCGGCGGTGATTCCTGCGCTTTTCCTTCTCCGAGTGCCTGCCGCCGCGCAACAGCTGGCACCCTCGGCGGGACCCCGCCGCAGACCGATGATGGCTGGAGGTCTGCATCTTGGTCTTCAGCCGCGATGTGAACACGCGCGTGGCTCTTGCTGTCTAGGAGGTTAGACAACCACCTACACGAAAAGGCCGCCACCATTATCTAGTAGCAGCGCATTTTTACTGTCGATTGGCGTCAGGTTGTCGTGCGAGCCCGAGTAGAACAATATAATCGGGAGCTGTGCTGGAATTAGTCGTGCAGTCGGGATGATGGAATCTGCCTCCCCGGTTGCTGAAACTGCCTCGTCACTCCCGAAGTGCCTCGTCCTTCACATGACAGGATTTGATGAATTTCTTTGTTTTTCTAGAATGGGTGAAAAGAGGACAGCGCATGAGGAAAATAATTAAAAAAGAAGAAGATGAAGAGGGCACAACTTCAACTGCTAGTCACGAAGACGATCGCATGTTGTCTTCTCGTTAAAAATACTCAAGCTCCCAGCGCTGTGCTACACGTACAGCGACACTCACACTAAAGATAGTGATCATCGAAGGAAATCACAATGGCGTTGACGAGGTTTTTGAAGAAGTTAGGATTAGGAATTCAATTTCTGTTTCATGAGATTGGCATTGGTCTACAAATTTGATGCTTGGATGGACGGACAGGAAATACCACACGAGCTCGACGAACTACATAGACCTATAGTGACATGGTGTGCCTCTGCCTGTTAGTGTGTAGGAATATGTTGGAAAACCAACAACAACATCATTCTTATGCAAACAAGATTTCTAAGTAGCATATGTTTCAATATCACGAATTAGTTAGTCATCATCTTCCTTTCAATTTATTGTCTATCGAAATGAAGATCCACGAATGATAACACGCATTCGATCGCATTTCGCCCTCGCATTTCGGACCCGTTTTGATTTCGTATCTTCGGAGGACGTATAAGGTTTTCGTGAGTGAGCGCAGTTGAAATTGATCAAGGACCCGAGTCCGCTGTCATTTTGTCGTTATCTTTTTGTATGGTGACGTGCTTTGTAGATAAAGGGGCGAGGCCCACTAGGGTCATCAGGCTCGCCATGGCCATGGTCCAGAAACCAGGGCCCCTCGTCTCGAGGCCCCATTAATTCTTGATTGCGTTTCAACGAATATCCACTCACGAACATGAGTATCAATATGAACAATAGATGGCACAGAAGGACGATGCCACTCGCTCCTTAAAAATATATCCCTGCGGATAAGGCGCTTACTTTTCTAGTTATTATTTGATTTTTTTGGGTTTGATGTTTTTTGGTCTTATTGATATTAGTCATTTGATTTTATTCATCTCAGTTTGAATTTCAATTATTAGATATCTCAACACCATTTCTCTTTCCTATTAGACTCAAAAAAGTCGGATGCTTTTGCATGCCGCCGAGACTTCAAGCATTTCTTCACTTTTTCGATAAAGAGCTGCGCGTCATTGAGGACAACTGGGTCCCAGGTCGGTTGTAAAGTTTGTCTTTTGTAAAATTTTTTTAAAGAATAAAGCCAAACGATAACACTCAAGGGGCTTCGTTTGCTGGAAAAAGATTTAACCAAAAACCTCTCCTCCAGAAGCCAAAATGTCATTTGTCCCTTTCCTCGTCTCTTCTCTTTCCCAATAGATTAGCAGTATGGTTCTTTGCTGTAAAAAGGCCCAGCCAAAGCGAGCCCTCCCCTCCAGAGGCCAAAACATCAATTGTCCCCTTCCTCGTCTCTTCGCTTCCCCCATAGATTTAGACTCTCACGAAGAAAAATTTCATCCATAAACGTCTCAAATAGGGATCGGATTTTTTCGGAACTATGTAAACTGAGAACGGAACCGGCAGGCACTACACCGGCGCGATCCGTCCTCAGTTTCTGTTCGTTTCGTTTTGTTATTTCTTTCTGGTGTTGTTTTTTTTGGTTTTTCTGCTTTCGTTCTCTTCGGTTTCGTTTTTTTCTCCTCGCTTTCCTTTTTCTCTCTCGATCCAAAAAGTGCCCTCTTCTCATCTTTCTCTTTCTTTCTAAGGGGAACAAAAATTGCGGGGCTTGCGCCCGTTGCACGGTTTCCGCTCCATCGAGCTCCGCCCCCGTCAAGTCTTCTCCGCCTCCGCAAAATCTGCCCCGCCTGCTCCGCAAAGTCTTCTCCGCCTGCTCCGGAAAGTCTACTGCGCAGGGCTTTGCGTCACAGCCAAGCTCTGCAGCCCCCCCTCGGCGATGCCTATTCTGCATGAGGAAAATTACGAGTAGCAGGCGCGCATCTTTTGCAATGAGGTGAGACAGATTTTTGCGTGGCCCACCACGCGCGCCATACATTCCCTGTCTTCCAGAATCAGACCTATTAGCTGCGCGCAATGGATTCGGCGCAGCGATTGCGCTGCGCAAATATGTCTGGTCATGGGTCATTGGAACTCGTCACGCAAAGCGCAGCGACGAGCATGCGAAAGGGAAAACTCCTATCGCCCAAAACCGTAGCCGAAGCATTTTGCCCGTTGCCCGCACGTCGAACCAGCCCCCAACTTCCGAGACCGTTCTCGAAAACAGCGGCCATTTGCCTGCTCGAACACGTTTGGTCGAATGCGAGAGATATGATTTGCCAAGTTGGCAGATCATATCTCTCGCACTCGACAAACTGAGGAAGGAGGCCGGGAGACGGAACGAGATTGAATCGCAATAGCACGACGAAGATGAGACGAGAATAACACGCGGGCGGGCGAAGCGCTTTTTTTGCGCTGCCACCGTTCCGAAAGAAGGAAAAAAGGGACTTGCAATTTGCAAAGACACCAACTCGCAGGGAGAGGAGGGCGGGACCAAAATTCAGGAACGCGAGGGCTCTTGCGGGCACAATCAGCGCGAGCGCATTCATTGCGCAAACGGACTACGTGTTTCTTCGGCTACTGCGATTCGCTCACGAAATCGGATCCAGGCGCACTACCCGCACTACTTCAAGTCCATGACTCCTATCGCCCAAAACCGTAGCCGAAGCATTTTTTTGCCCGTTGCCCGCTCGTCGAACCAGCCCCCGACCTCAGAAATCGCTCGCGAAAACAGCGCCACTCTGCCTGCTCGAGCAGCGTTTTGTCGAGTGCGAGAGATATCTATGCCATGATAGCAAAATAGAGCGGGACGCGGGAGGATTGTGCAACTCGACGCGGGTTCCACGATGGAAGCGCACACTCGTAAACGCTTTCACATTGTACACGGTGCACGGCTGTCATTGGCGAAGTGAAATAGTTTTCATTTGGCCGCCGGCAGTGGGATAGTTTTTATGTGTCGCCTACCAGTCAAGAGGTTAGCTCCAGACTTTTCCAAGTTCCTCCAAACCAATCCCACAACCTCCGCCAAAAGGGCCAAGCTGACAGGCGCGGGGGTGTGGCGGGGGGTGTAGTGGCGGGGGGCGTGGCGCGGGGCTTGGCGGGGTGTTTTCTATTTTTCCACATGTGGCCACGTCGTCGCTTTTGCGTACAGAAAGGCGCTGGCCGCCGTTTTTTCTACATGGGGCCCCGTATTAGGTCGGTTGATTTACTCCAATTTCCTGAAGATGACACGGACCCACTGAGAGGTCTTGCGCTAGTCGCCAAGTGCTCCCATCGGCGTGCGACGCCCCTCCGCCGGACATTTCCTTACTTTTTCAAAAGTTCTCTGTTTGGAAAATTCCACAAAAGCCCAAGCATCAAGCTCCGTCATCGGTTGCGCCAGGGCGAAAAGCTTCAGCCAACAGCCCAGGTTTTCGCTTGCTGCGAAGAGCTCCTAAGCTGTTCGCTGTAACTAAGCGCAAAAGTTAGTCCGGATAAGCGAGTGCGAGGGACTCATCGACGCGGTCAGCGTCAAACTGCAAGCGGATTAATATTAAAGAAAGGGCGTGGCTTTGTTTGGAGCTGTCTAAACTAACTGGGAGGCGGACTGTGGATCCTTCCCCGCATGCTCTCGCGTTTTCTTAAAAAGGCGAGACTGGGAACGGAGCTCGAAGCCGTGAACAGGTGCGGGAATGGGAACGAAGAACGCCCGGAGAAGCCCCGACAGGCGCGCCAGTAGGTGGCTCCTGGTGCGAAGGAATGGCATCCAACCAGACAAGACGAGCTGGCTGCGCGCGCCCGGCAGGTGCGGCAAAGGGGGCCTGCAAAAAAAAAAGCGAAGCGATAGGGCGGCGCAGGGTGACAAGGTTTGCTGTTGTTTGCGGAGGGGCGCGAATGGAGACGCGGAGAAACTGCGTGCGCTTTTGCCCCGGTGAGGCTTCGTCTTTGGTTCATTACGTCGCGCATCGCTATGCGTCGAAAATTTGTCTGGGGCTGGCAGATTGCAAACCTTGTCACGCAGGTTTCCCATGGCCCACGAGGCCTGGACGCAGCACCTAGCGTGACAGATTCTATGACATCCCTAACTCTATCATGCCTAAGCTGCATGAAAAACGCCCGGGCTATTTATGCGCTCCAGATAGTTCTGGTGCTGGCAGACGTGGAATGTATGGCGCTCGTGTTGGGTCACGCAAGATTCTGTCTCGCCTGAGTTGCAAAAGATGCCTGCTGTTGGCGATTTTTTTCATGCAGAATAGGCATCGCCGAGGGGCTGCGCAGCTTGAGACGCTAAGCCCTGCGCAGCAGACCTTACGGAGGCGGAGGGGGCGAGCAGACTTTGCGGAGGCGAAGCAGTCAGACTTTGCGGAGGCGGAGAAGATTTTTTACGGGGGCGGAGCCAGCTCGACGGAGCGAAAGCCGTGGAACGGGCGCCAATCCCACGACTTTTGTCCCCTCTAGGGAGATAGAAGGAACATTTTGGATCAAGGGAGAAAAAGAAAAAAGAGAAGAAGAAACCGAAACCGAAAGCAGAAAAACAAAAAAAAACAGAAACCCCACGGGAAGCAAAAAAACAAAACGAAACGAACAAAAATTGAAGACAACCCCCCCCCGGTGTAGTGCCTGTCGGTTCCGTTCTCAGTTTACATAGTTCCGAAAAAATCCGATCCCATACAAAAAAATATAATTATATATACTATGCGCTGTTGCGCTGCATGCGCATACTTACAGTGACTACCCCGCTGCTATTTGTATTTCATAACTATCTGTAAAAATAAAAGCGAGTACGAAGTGCATTTTGTAGTTTCTTGCAGTTCCACCAACTCCCTAGCGCTATGGAGTTGGTTATGGTTTTAGTTGCGGCCCGCACATTCTGATTTGGTCAGCATGAGAGTGAGTGTGAGACGCCTCTCTGAAGTGTGAGCATTGATAATGGAAGACACTCACCACGTCTTGGCGGATCTCATTGCAATCGAGAAAAGTCTTCCCCAGATCATGCTGGAAGGGAAGAAATCGGTACTCAGCCACACCCTTGTGCTCCGGCTCACGGAGTACATTCTCATTATGACAAAAAACGCTTCGGCGCATCGAGTACGGAAAGTCGGTTTGGCTGACCCATGTTTGGTCGTTGAACAGAGCGCCGGGGACGTTGCCGACATCACAGCCATCCTCATCCTTCGAAGTTGAGAGTTGGAAAAATCGACCGGACCCTGCGTTGAAGAACAGAAGGGGGCTCGCGCCATGAAGAACAGAAGGGTGCATGCTGCATTTATTGTAAGTCGCTTGCACACGGTAAGCCCATTCTGGGTGCTCGTTTTCCGGTAAAATAAAAACACACACGAGGGGGCCCTCGTTACTGTTGCAGTGGTTGAGAATGTGGTCAGGTTCGGTGTCACCGTGGCTATGTTTCCAGCTTAAAAGGCAGGAGCGAGCGGGCCTGTTGTCACGAACATCATTCCCGCTGGTTGCCAGTACTATTTGCGCTTTGATATCTTCAACAACTTCATCTACATCTGCGTCTTCGTCTTCGACTGAAGCTTCTGCATCACCATGTCCACCAAGCATGCGAGAAAACCAAGTAGAAGCGGGAGTTGTAGTAGTAGTTGTGGTGGTTGTCTTTTCTGGAGCTGTTGTCTTGACAGAACTAAGGCGCCAACTAGACATTGTAGCAGTTGTCTCAACCCCAGATAATAAGGCTTCCGCAAATGATGTCTTCCCCGAAGCGTGGTGGTGGCTAGAGGGATGTCCTTTCATCCCCTGGTGCGACTCCAAATCTTCCAGTGTCGGCAGTTGTATCGAGACGAAGCTCCCTTGCGCAATCCGGGCTCTGTGCCTTTACTAGAATTGCAATTGGACCAAACAACGACTACCGAGCAGCCAAATCCCAATGCAAGAAAGGGGAACCTCACGAAAAAATCTAAACTTTTGCGGCGGCAAGGCAAGTGCGTAAACGTGGGGTGCGCCCTGTTCGTCTTTACGTGAATTCTTGTTCTTGATCAACTGCGGCGGACGGTATTGACGGGGTAAAAATGTATACGATTTCCGGCCAGGGCGACGGGCCGGCTTCATCTAGAGGCCGCCGCGATGTGGAGGGCTGCATGATCGCAATCGTGGCGATGCTGGCAGCGTGCCTGATGGCGGACTGTCGCGCGCTAGCTACTTGTGCTTTCTCGTGCAGCTTCAGGCACAGGCGGATAGCCAACCTATTGCCGACGATAGCGGCTTGTCGATGCGCTGCCGAGGGGCGTTGCGGCTGCTGGGCTCAAAAAGCAACACTTCTATGCTTTTTGTGTCCGGCAAGATGCCCCCGCGCCTGATGCCAAACGCAGCCGCCGGGGCGGGGATGGTGCGGTCGCTGCCGTTTTTCTGCGTTCCACTTCCCCCACCTGACCACAGGCAGGCCGCGCTGTTGCTTTTTGCGGGGCCGACGTGCCCTCGTGGATAACGTTGGCTGCACTGCATGGGGTGGCAGGCACTTCAAGAAGAAAAGCGCCGCAGCTTTTATTTTATTTCGGTTCTTTCTACATACAACGAAGGCAGGTCACCTACATAAAAAATCGGGCCTTTAGCATAGCGATTGGTCGCGATTGGCTTCATGAAACTGGCGCGCTTTTGCGTTTTTGTGTTCGCTGCCATTTTCCAAGGCCGCACTTTTTCAGAAGCTTCTCAGGCTGAGATATGAGCGGGGGAACAGACGAAGGCGCGGCCGGTACTACGCTCGCCAAAAATATTCCAAAACCTCGGCAATGTCGCGCGGTTTGGCCGTCCCAATTTTGCGAGCCCTTTTTTGCGGCGCGCCTTTGGGCGCCCCGAATCGCCAGAATACCACGCGGCGAACGCCTCAGAAGGGCGCCCCTTTCGCCGGCCCTCCTGCCTGCGTCATTCTATCAAACGGCGACCGATAGAACCCCCCGGCAATGTGTTGGCAGCAAAACTAAACAGGCGTGCGCGCTGGCTTTTTTTTCAGGCGAAAGAACGTCCCGTGTGTAAGCTCTTCAACTGCTGGCCGTTCATGGCAAGCAAGTCCTGGATAGAGCCGCGCGGTGAGCTCAATCACTACACTGCCCTTACTTTTACATATTCTTTATGGATATTAATGCTATCCATAAGAATAAGGAGGCTTATCCGATAAGACTCCTTAAGAATCTGCCTTAAGAGTTCCCCTCTCAAAGCTCCCTAAAAGAAGAAGGGGCGCGGAATCGCTGATGGCAGGGGGGGTTCATACATTTTTTCGCCGGCGGCATGCTGCGTTTTGTTTCCTGTGTGCGCCGGGCGGCGCGACTATTTGCAGGCCAGCAAACCGGGCCCATGCATAACATCGAGATTTACATACGGCGAAAAATTTTGAAGCGACCCCTTTCAGGGGAAATCCTTTTTACGGGGCGTCTTTACGGGCATTCTTAAGGTGATCATCTCTCGGGAGGTTTGTACGGCGCGCGACCCTTTAGGGAGGCCCATGCGATTTCGCCCGGAGAGAGGGCGCAGCGCACTACTTGCTGTAGGGCTCTGCGAAGGCTGCCCGCCTGGCTAGCGGCAGCCGGCCTGCCCGCCCGGTAGCGGCGGCCGGCCCGCGGCCGAGCAAGCTACCTATCGCTAGCGGCAGCCTGCGGGCGCGCGGGCTAGCGGCAACGAACCATGGGGCACGCAGGCTAGCGGCAGCCGGCGGGCACACAGGCTGGCCGGCGACAACGAGCGGGGGCGCTGGGCCGGCGACCGCGAGCCGTCCGGCCTGCGGCAGCCGGCAGGCCCGCCAGGCCAGCGCGGGGCTAGCGGCCGGCTAGCGGCACCAGCGGCAGGGTGGCAAACGGCCCCCGGCAGGGTAGCGGCACGCAGCCGGAAGGCTAGCACACAGGGTCGATGGCGGCAGCCGGCACACAGGCCCGCGGCGGTGGCGGCGGCCACCAGGGTAGCGGCTGCCGGCAGGGTAACAATTGGTTGCCCGCTGGCTAGCGGCCGGCGGGCTAGCCATACCCTGCTGGGTGGCTGCAGCCCGCAGGATAGCTGAGGCGGGCCCGCAGGCTAGCGGCGGCCGGCGGGCTAGGTAGCGTCTGCCGGCAGGCTAGCGGCTGTCGGCACACAGGCTAACGGCAGGCGGCCCGGCGGGCAGGCTAGCGGCGGCCGGCAGTGTACCTAGCGGGAGCCGGCAGGGCAGCGCCAGGCAGCCCGCAGGCAAGCGGCAGCCCGAAGGCTAGGCAACCGTAGCCGGGCGGGTAGCTGCAGCCCACAGTCAGACTAGCGGCAGCCGGCGGGCTGGCTACCCTGAGGGCGCGGGCGGGGCAAACGGCAGCCGGCTAGCGCGGGGCAGCCAGGGCAATTCCGGCGCGCGAGCGTGTCCAGACTGCCTCCGGGCCCCCTCTCCCTGCCTCCGTGCAGCTCCTTACCCAACCACTGGCAGACCGGTCGCAACCGAGAATCGCAAGCCCAGGCGAGCCCAGCAGGGCTCGCCCCGAGGCTTGTAAATATCGCGCGCGGTTGTGTGGCGGGGTAATCAGTATCGCGCCAAAAGCCTGTAGGCCTTCTGGGCTCGCAAAGGCGAAACATGGCGTGGCCCCACAGAAACAGGAACGGGCGCTCCGACAATCAGAGGAGCCGGGGGCACCTCGCCCTGTTTCCTGGGCCCGTCGGGGAGGGTTGCGCGGCCCACGAAGCGCCTGGACTTTGTGCAGAGGACGCGAACCAACCGCGGCCAAGGCACGCACTCTGGCACCCTCGGCCGCCAGGCAAAATGGCGCGGGCCTGCCGCCGCGCAGAGAGAACCAAAGGCGCCGCTTCCGCGGTTCTTCTCCTTGGCATGGCATTCGGTCGGCGGGCCTCCTCCGGAGAGAGCACACACCATCCGACACCTCCCAAGCCGGCATGTGGGTGCTGCTTCCTTCTTCTTGGCATGGCATTCGGTCGGGCTTCTCCGGGGAAAACGCACACCATCTGACAACCCCCACGCGCAAGCCGGCATGTGGATGCTATTTCTGCTAGGCCCCAACCGGGAGGGCGCGCCCCATTTGCTTGCTAATTACGCTCGTGCCCGACTTGGTTGGGCTTCGTGGTGAAGGCGCGCGCGCGCCTTAACGAGCTCCGGCAAGATGCATGACTGAGCCGGCACGAGATCGCGGACTACTCGGCAAGAACAAGCTGTAGCCTATTACCATTCATTCACTCTTTCATATGCATATGTGTCCGCGGGAATTAGTTCTGTGTCTTTCCTCATCAGTTGTAGCCTAACTATTGCAAAATAAAAAGCACACAGAGACCACACCGCGAATCATTGTCCTTGCGCGCTCCACTGAATAACATCCTCGCCCGAAAAGTGGTGGCGCTGGTCCCCTGCGGTTCATGCGGAAAACGCCCGGGCGGTCCCGGCGTCTAAAATTCTTCTAATTTTTCCGGTTTTGCAGAAAAAGCAAATACCCACGGCTTTTATTTTTACACGATGCGTTCAAGGTTTGTGGGGTATGTGCATGTGCGCGGTTCCTCTTGATACGCCGTGTGGTACACGAGACAATCCTCATCGTTCTTACATTTCACAAAAGGTGGAACATGCCCATGGGTTTTTTGCACTGCATGCGCGAAAACGCAGCCGCGTTCGTTGTCAACATCGTGATGCAAGGAAAGTCGACGCGGCCGGGGAGATACGTCCAGCTGGCCGGGCGGCACGTGACCGGGGATAGCAGTTGGCGCGTACAAGCCGGCGCCCATGCGCCCCTGGCCCTGCACCTGCAGATACAGGCTCCGCAAGACATGCAGATCCCCTCTCGCCTGCGCAGCGAGTTGGCTTCCGCTAAGTACTTATTCTCCAAGAAGCGGCACACAGGAGGGGGGCCGTCCAGATGTTCAGGACAAGTGCAACCAAGGAGGAGCTTTGCTTTGTCATGCTTCGCGCCCAGCTCGGCAGCGGCACATGTCAGCGAAAACCAGGCGCGGCTGCGACGCGGCCCCGCATCACACTCGTCGCTCTCGGCGGCATGCCAGCAGTATTGCTGGTGCCGGGAGAACTTGAGGGCGTGCGTGTTTTCTCTCGACGATTTCGAAACGACTTTCGGGCGCTTGTTGGCCCCCGCACCGAGATGAAAGATTTTGTTTGCATCACACACAATATATGCGAATGCGGAAGGTTTGTCCTCCGTGTGGTGCTCTGGGTTCTTCTTCAGGTGCACGCCCCGCAGTGCATCACACGAAGCCCAGAAATTGCGCAAGGGCGAGACCTACCTCCCTTGGCCACATGCCATTGGACCAGCAAGGCCCGGTCGCGTCCAAGGTCCTTAATGTTCTCATGTTACTGTGACTGAGGCTGATGACCAAATTGACCTCCGATGTTTGGCTTCTGCTTTTGCAGACGCTCGAACAGCTGCAGCACCGATCTGGGTTTCTCCCTGCGTTTCCCCTGCTTCTGCTTGCTACTTGCAGTGACAACTTCGTCCATCTGCAGGTACGAGTGGTGCCGGCCGGGTAATTCAGCCGCGCCAGCCTCCTGCTCCACGTCGCCCGTATTAGCTGTCAAGGGCAAAACGCGTAACGTGTCAATATTATCGTCATCGATTTCATCCGAGTACTCGTCTGTCCCAGACGGCCCCGTCTCCGCGTCGGCCGTTCGTGGTTGCGTCAGGTCAAGACGTAAAGGCTCGTCCATGTAGTCGCCCGGGTTATCCGGCTCGTTCGCGTTTTCCACACGCGACATGGTAGCGTCGAACCGCACAGAAACCTCCTCCCGGCGCTGTTCGGACTTGATGCGTTTCCCGCCAGCCACATCATTAATCGCAAAAGTGCGCGGAGCGTGATAAATATATCCTTCCTTAGTGAAAACGTCCACGACACAACGACATCAACGCATCAAGGATGCTGTCTTTTTGACGCGAAGAGGAAGACAAAGAAAATCAAAATACAAAGCTCTGCGGATTGCCCATAAGTAGAAGTAGAAAAGCGCCAAACAATAAGTGTGACTGCATGCATTGAAGCTCCGGCGCTATACAACTTGTTCCCGGCGCAGGAAACATCTATCTGTGTCCGCAATGTAACCAAGATTCGGTCGCTTCGTCGCATATTGAAAGGCCTGTTTCCTATGGCCATGGGGTTTAGAAGATCATGCTCATGACAAACACACCCAGCCAAACTAAGCAGGTGCCTTTTGCCCAGAATTTGTACCAATGCCAAGAAATCAATTGATTGTGGGACGTCATTCGGCGGAGGACAACGACATCAAATGTCGGCGGGGAACGTGTTCGGAAAGGATAAACTCAGGCCAACAAATACCTTCCCGATAGCGGACGCAAAGTAAGGCATTTCGCCAAGGATAATTAGTTTGATATCAAGCAGCTCAATTCTTTCGGCTCCTCGGGCCTTCGCCCCGGAGAAGGGTGCAGGACAGGCAGTTTAGTCCCACATGTGAATCTGAATGTAGTAGTACCACTTACATTTCACGACGCTACTTTATGTTTCATCTATGTTTGTAAGTATGGGGTGTGGGGGCCGCGGTGGGCTCTTCTCATGTGGCTCGCTAGACAAGGGGAAGAGGAGCACAGCTGCATCTGCAACAGCTCTGCCTATTAATTACACAGGGCGATAGGGGTGGGGCACGCGACTACTAGATTGATACATGATGAGGGTGCGGCATCCCCTTTCTATGTGGCTCAAACGTAGTAAGTACTCTCTGCATCCACCACAACAGCGATCAAGGGGTCCACGTGTCCGCGTACTTTTGATATTGATGATCGTCCCTATTATTATCTTCATCTTTGGCTCCAAGTCCAAGAGTCAGAGTCATACAAATTAAGCCTGTGGGTCCAGCGCCTGGACATCCGGTTCTCGCTCTCATCGTCATTCCTATGAATATGATCCCTTCGCCTCTCATGATATACCAGAGCAACAGATCTTCAAACTCTACTCCCTCGCCAGTTCCGCGGTCCTTTCCATTCCGCAAGTAGGTTGTTTGGTTCAAACAAAAGCACCCAGTAACAGCCTGGAAGCGACACTGTTCTCGTACCAGAGTCCTCACACAAACAAATCCAAGAAATATGACATGTGGTGCATTTCAGTTCTTCGGTGTCAAATACTGGACTTTTGCTTTTCGTTTTCCCTTACTTGGTGCGTATCAGTATCACTTAAAAATTATTCCGAACAGCACATTGAAATGTAGCTCCTACCCCACATCCAGAACAAGTTGTGAAGTTGTAGTACTTGGGTGTTGAAGTTGAAAGCGCGAGCAACATGCTTCTGAGACCACGAGGTGCAACTTTTCGCATGGGCTCCAGTGCCCTGCCTCTAGCAGCAATCTAAGTACTATAACTCCTATTGCTGAGCGGTGTGAGTTAAAACTTTGCGACGGGGAGGAAAATCATCCACGCCGAAAATTTTTCTACAATTTTCAAACTTCCCAAAAATTCCGCGACTTGCGAAATCGCTAACCGCCCACCGCCCAAATCCCATCGCCCAATTCGCAAATCCCACCGCCAAACTCGCCACCACCCCCATCGATTAGCCCCCAACTCCCGTCGCCCACTTCCCAAACCCCATCGCCCAGCTCCCAACTTTCATCGCCCAATGCCCATCGCCCAACTATTTTGCAACGCGAAATATTTTGCAACTCGCAACATTTTGCGAATCAAAATACTCTGCAACGCAAAATATTTCGCAACTCGAAATATTTTGCAAGTCGAAATATTTTGGAAGTCGGAATATTTTGCAACTCAGAATATTTCTCAACCCTCGGAAAATATTCTGACCAGAAAATATTTCGCAACAACCCCCCGAAGAAACCGCTTCCCCCGTTTTTGCAGCTCTGAAGGCGGAGGGCACGGGGAGAGCAGAACGCACGGGCTCCCAACTCCCATCGCTGGATTGCCAACCTTCGTCGCCCAATTCCCATCGCCGAGCTCCCGACTATTTTGCAAGAACGCAAAACGTTTTGCCACTTCAAATATTTCCCAAAGCGAAAAAAAACTCTGCAACGCAAAACATTTCGCGACTCAAGATATTTCGCAACTCGAAATATTTTGCAACGCAAAAGATTTCGCAAGCCAAAAAATTTCACCAGTCGAATTATTTCGCAAGTCGGAATATTTTGCAAGCCAAAATAAAAACTTCGCAAGCCAAAATACTTCGCAAGCCGAAATATTT